ACCATGAATTAAGATTAAGAACATTTTCTAGGCAAAATAATAATAGGATGCAGGATAATATAATATCTTTTCAAGTGCAATTGAGCATTTGTATTATGAAAAAAGAAATAATAAATTAAAGAGAGAGAGAGGGAGGGAGGGAGGGAGGGAGGGAGAGAGAGAGAGAGAGAGAGAGAGAGAGAGAGAGAGAGAGAGAGAGAGAGAGAGAGAGAGAGAGAGAGGTATTTCGATCAGTTAATTGAAAAAAATGAATGTCTTAGCCAAAATGGAGGTGGAAATAGCGTCGCTCTTACTTTTATCCGTAAGATTTATAACTAAGGGTGAGCAAAAGGAATCCCTCGGACTAGACTAAATCGATTTGTTTTGGGCGGTTTGCGGGGTACCGGTTCCAAGTTTCAATTTTTTGGAATCAATAATTTTCGGTCCGCTTCCATGTGTGGAACGACCCACCCGGACCACTTGGACTGAACAAATTTTTTTTTAAAATTTCTTACAAATATGTAAAAACTAAACCTAATCCTTATTCGTTCACAAACCCTCACGACTCAGCTGCTCGCTTCAAACCCTAATCGTTCGCTCTTTCATAGATCTTCAGGCCTCCAAGCGCTAATCGCTTGACCCTCCTGCTTGAGTCGCTTGCGTCCCTCTCACTTTGTTTTTGGCCAATCGTGATGACAATAGTATCTCATCGAAGTAAATATCCAATGCTCTATTTTTTTTTTTGCCATTCTTCGTACGTAATATTCGCATCTCATCGTCTTCGAACACGGATGAGGACGAGTTCGTGAGGGGCTGTCCCTGCTGGCCACCCAGACGTATGTCGTGTCTGGGATGTTCTTGTATCATATGCCCACATAGTAATTGGTGTTGTCTAGCGTCAAGAACCCAAGCTCAAAGACTTCATTTGCAGAGATGAGGGTCTGGTCGCTGGTGATCGATTCGTTTGCAGAGATGATTACAAGTAAAGTGAAGCAGGAATGGATACTTCATTTTTTGTCCGATCTCGTCTGATTCTTGCATTTAATAAGCTAAAGCCATTAAAAAACAACACGATGTCCACAAATTACTAGTGACTTGGACCAGAGCCACCGGTACCATTTACCCACCCGGGAACCGGTCCGTTTCCAAGATCAAATGGTACGATTTCTGGTTCCAAATCTGCAAAACGGTCCCTTTGTTCCAATTCCCGATTCCTGGATGGCTAAAGACTTGTTCGTAAAATCCTAGATACAAATGAATGTGTCCATGAACGTGTCAAATAAGTAATATAATAATGAAAATAGTATTGTCCCACAGAGATTGATGATTAATAAACTAATAAATTATTAAAAATGGACTAATTATAAAATTCATTTAACAAATCAAAATAGAATTGAGAATAAATGAAAATTGACAATCTTACAAACAAAATTTCGGAATTAAAGGCAATTAATCAATCAAATAAATATGTTAGAGCATCCGATTTCACCATAACCACTAAATATAAATTTCATATCATTATGCATACAAGAACAATATCGAACATGTAATAGCGGAATTTCCTAGTCTATTTACTATCATATCTCTAGGTATAACAAATCTACTCAGTTTATCAATCCATCATATCTCTATGTAAATTTAAATAAACATAAGTGCATAAAATATGTGAATATTCCCGATTTATGATGAATCTTTTGGACCACCTTATCACCAAAAGCCATACAAATAATATGGTATACCTCTATCCGCATTTAATTCATCCTTATATATTATAAGGAGCAATTTCATATTATCACTTCTTAGTCTCAGACATGCACATCAGATCATTCAAATGGTAGCTAGTCACTTAAAGGTATTAAGCACAATAATATACAACTCACATGAATGAAATCTCACTTATAGATCATAAAAAGCATGAAATTCATGTCATCATGGCCAGGCTACATCGTAGCCCTAACAAAAGAAAATTAGAACAAAACAGAAGAAGAAACAAAAATAAATTAAACCCACCATTTTGAATTAAAGAATAAGAATCCTGTCATCACTTTTTGTCTTCTCTTCAAAATACTTGAAAAACTCTTAGAACAATGAAAAAAAGAACTATAATAAAAATTATGTGATTTATTTCCTTGCTTATTTTTCGCATCAAATTAGGTAATAAATCACAGAATTCTCGATTTGGCATCCACTTTCGAACTCTTCTCTGGGTGGGTCTTCCTTTCCTTATTTTTGCCATTTTTTTTAAATTTTCTCCATGTCTAATTATGCTGCATAAACAAGGAAAATTTGAGTAAATAAAAGGAAATCCAAATATTTTCTCGTAAATATTACATTATTTGTCGTCTAAAATAGGTAAAATAACTCTATTTTTATAGAGTTACCAAACCAAATTGCCAGGAAACCGATCCCCCTGCTTATTACCATTTAATCAGCTTGATGCACCTGTACATGCACTTCGATAATGGGTATTACGTGTAAAGGACTTTCATTCAACATTATTGGTGTTAGAGCAATTACATGGCAACATTTTCCGGAGTTTAAATCATCATTGCTTATAGTTATAAATTTTTACTTTATTTTCTATGAAAAAGTGAAAATGATTTTATCTTTTCTTTTGGTAATTTTCCTTTAGCTTTGGTAACTTTTTATGACAAGAAATTCCATCTTATTTAGATGAACTCTGGATGCATAATTTAGGTAACTAATTTCATAGATCTCAAGTGGCTCAACTCTTTTATTTTATGGGTTAATACCACGGAAAATCTCAAACTGGTACACCTGTGATAATTTTATCTCAAGCTAATTTTTTGAAAACAAAAAACCCCCAAACTGGTACATATGAGATAAATTTACCTCCAACTAAATTTTTTACCACAAAAAATTTCAAACTGGTACATTTGTGATAATTTTACCCCGACCTAATTTTTTGACCACCAAAAACCCTAAACTGGTACACTTGTGACAAATTTACTCTCTATTAAATTGGATTAATATCACGAATAATCACAAATTGGTAAACTTGTGACAAACAGAGGGGTAAAACCCCAAATTGGTATACCCGTCAACTACCACGTGTCATCAAACTTAGTAATTTGACGGTAAAATTAAACGAAAACTAATGGAGAGTAAATTTGTCATAGGTTTACCAGTTTGAGGTTTTTTGTGGTAAAAAAATTAGTTCATGGTAAAATTGTCACAGATGTACCAGTTTGGGGTTTTTAGTGGTCAAAAAATTAGTTCGGGATAAAATTGTCACAGGTTTACCAGTTTGAGGTTTTTGGTAGTCAAAAAATTAGTTTTGGGTAAATTTGTCACGGGTGTACCAATTTGAGGTTTTTCATGAAATTAACCATTATTTATATATATTTCAACGAGAAAACCTCTATTACATATGCATAATCCGTTTCCTTATTTTAAAAAGACAATGTAAAATTATCTGATATATAAATTTCTTCATCATGAATTTGTCGGGCTCACATTGATAAAATGGTCTAGTTAGAGCACTTATTCTAGTGCCGGAATCATTAAAGACATGAATAGAAATTAACTAAGCATGTGTTATAACATACTATATAGAACCTTTCTCGCCTTTTCGGCTAAGATCAAAAGGGCATAACCTAATATGGTTACTAAAGCCGATTAAAAGATTTTAAAATGGTTGATTAATGCATCATTAATAATCCATCTCCCACGCAACTTACCAATGAGTGATGACTCCTAAAGTCCGACATTTGCCTTTACAATGCAAGATGCATTTGATTAAGCCTTGAATATGCTGAATAGATGACAGAGAGAGCTAGGGTCATTGAGGGACTTGAAAACTCGAACACGTGACCTACTCTATAAATATCATGCAAATATAACCTATTGCCTTGCTCAGCGCAAATTATAAACTACATTAATTGCCCTTAACCAATTTCAAAACTTAGGTCGGTTGCTCATAATTTAACATTGAAATGCTAGGAATTGAAGATGTTTGATCATCTCTAAACACCTATCAGTAATATTTCGAGCGTCATACAACGAGATTTTTTTTTGGCTCCTCCAACGAGGAAGCTCATATGATTAAAATCTCAACAAAGTTCCGTTTGTTTGCTGAACCCTAGCGAGTTTGCAGCTACTGCTGGCAGGCTGAGAATTGCTCAGTTCTGAGGATCTTCTAACTTCACAATGAAGTAACAAGTCGTTCGTAGAGAGAAAAAGCTAAAAAAATAAAATAAAATAAGAACAAGGAGCACCATCGGAAGTGGCAAAATGACATACATACAATGTATGTATATGTAAAGAGCTCATCGGGTCTTCAACAAACACGACCCCCCCTGTAGTCGATGAGACCCCTTGGAATCTTATATGTTTTTCTGCAATCAGATGGATATGCCTTATATAGAAGGTAAAGTATTGACTATATATTTCCGAGGAAATCTGTCTTGGTTTTTATGTCTTCGAGATTCTAATCTCTACCGTGTATTATGGTAAAGTTAGATATAATATTTATTATATGCAAATATAAATCCGTTATTCATAAAAACAAAGTGTTATGCAAATTACTTTACGAGCGTCCCGTAAGTTTGCTGAAAAGACAATGGTTGTGTATTGGACAGAGACAGGTTTGGCACTTGGCGGGGTTTTTCTCTTCTCTAGGAATTCTCCGGGAAGCAAACCAACAAAAACCATTCACCAGTCTGCGCTGCAGAGAGGAAAGAAGGGGCCTGCGAAAGTAAAACCAGTAAATTCAAAAGTAAAGGAAAAAGGAAAGGATACCTTCTTGCCTTGCATAGATATGTTCATAGGCCTGTTCCTCAACAGCGCAGCAATCTCTCTGTGTCTCTCGTGCATGTGTTTGCTGGTCCAAAGTTAAACATAAATGGAGTCACCGCCCTAGTCCACCATTAGCAGAGGCGACATTCAAACCCAACCCCATCAGACTCCTTCCTCCACCACACCCCCAACACTCTCCGAGGTGGTCTCTCTCTCTCTCTCTCTCTCTCTCTCTCTCTCTCTCTCTCTCTGTGTTTTTTATAATGGACAACACCACTCCCTCGCCAACCACCACTACCACCGCAACCCAAGAAAACCCCACCACTACCGTCTCCACCACCAGCGACAACTCCTCCACCACCACCACCAGCAACAGCAGCACGAGGAAGTGCAAGGGCAAAGGAGGCCCCGATAACAATAAGTTCCGTTACAGAGGGGTGCGGCAGCGGAGCTGGGGCAAATGGGTCGCCGAGATCCGGGAGCCCCGGAAGCGGACCCGCAAGTGGCTCGGCACCTTCGGCACCGCCGACGACGCCGCCCGCGCCTACGACCGCGCCGCCATCATCCTCTACGGTTCTAGGGCTCAGCTCAACCTCCAGCCTTCCTCCTCCTCATCCACCACCTCCTCTCGCGGCTCTTCGTCCTCCTCCACCTCCTCCTCGTCGTCCACCCAAAATCTCCGGCCTCTGCTTCCACGGCCTTCGGGCTACGCGTTCACCTTTCCTTCTTCATCTTCCTCTTCTTCCCCTGCGCCGTTCTGTTCGGTCCCGTACGGAGTGTACATCCCTAACGGTGCAATTAGCAACAGCGTCGTTGTCCCGTCCGTACAGTGCCCGAGCAACATCGGGCTACAGAATCTTCAGCTTTCGAATCATCAGAATTTTCATCCTCAGGCCGTACAACATCCTCAACAACAATATCTGTGTGCGCGGCCCGACGGGATCGAGAATATCCCCGCCATGGCAACGACCGCCACCGCGGATGGAAACCCTAACTATGAACACCAAGAACAACAACTACGAGAAGATCAAGATCGTCATCATCAGCAGCAACATCATCAGCTCGGTCACTTGAGCTATGACGACATCAACGCGCTTGCTGGGTCGGTGGGCGCGAGCCTTTCCTTGGCCTCGGAGGTGGAGGCGGCCCCACCGGTGCCTCCGGAGACGACCGCTGCCGAGGTGGGGCAGGGTTCGCCAGCGATGTGGCCGCTGGGGAACGAGGATGATTACATTCATCATGGGATTTGGGATTACGGAGACCCTTTCTTGTTTGATTTTTGAGGAGACTGTTGTGATCTGATTACAGTAGATGCATGATATATATATTAATCAGAGCAGGAACACGCTGAAGTGCTCCTTCGGAGTTCATCAAGATGGTTGCATGCCAGTGCTTTCGAGGTCGGCGATGGCTCGCTTTCGCGGGTTCAAGTGCATTTGCACCGAGCGGCAGAACTCTCCGGCCATATAGCAGAAGGACGAAGGAGATCGGGATTCGTGATATAAATTTAAGAACAGAGAAAGGAGAAAAGCAGGAGGATGATCTGCAATGAGTTGCATCTGCATGTTTTATTATGATCTTCTATATATATTCTCGAGATTTATCCATTTTAAGTAGTAGAAAGGTTTCTGGGAGATTTCAAGATCTGTTAGTTTTGAGCACTTGGAGTCTCGATCAGGTAAGGAGATTCCACATTTTCTCTTAGATTATAATCTTTAGTGAAGAGGTAAGTGAATGCTAATTGCATTTAGATCAAGTTGAAGGTCCTGGGATTAAGCTTTTCTTCTTTTTTTGTGGGATTAAACCATTGTTGAGGAAGATGTTATTTGAGGTTCTCCCTCTGTTGTTGATTTATCCAGAATTTATTTAGGAAATAATTCTGTAGTCTTCATTCTTTGATATTGTATTTTGGCTTTTACATCTCTGTAATAATGCGCTGCAGATCTCTCCTTGGAGTTTTTCTTCCTTCAGTTCGAATTAAATTCTGCCTTGTCCTGCTGGTTTCATTTCATGTTTTGGGTTTCATGTCATTTTTGCTATTTGAGCTTTGGTTGTTTAGTGTTTAAGTGTAAGTTTAGCTGCCACCAAGAACCAGCAAACTGCTGCAATATTCTTCTTCGAGATTAACCAGTGAAATGATGGATAGACCATTTGTTTTTTAAAGTAATGCGGATGTGAGTTGCCTGTTAGAGTTAATTGTAACATTTACAATGTAGCCAATAATATATTCTTTAAACTTAGGTATATACATGCTTGGTTGGGATGAACTAGTTCATTAGTGTGCAAATGAATGCTGAAGGTTTCGCATTGATGGATGATCTCCAAATTCGGCCATTTTTCCCGATCTAAGAACCTGCAGCATTCTCTATGCCTTGTAGCATAATCTTTGCTTAATTTGGTGGAGAATAGGCAAACCTAGTTTGCTCAAGCTGAATTAAGGACACTATGAATAGATATGTATGGAAGTTCCTTAAGAATCACGGTCCATCAATCTTCGTTTCTTGCAGGTTTATTTCCCATTTGCGAGCCCTCCAATATTATCTTCCTGCATAATTTCAAGCAAGGGGAGGGAACAAGAAGCTACAGACTAGTGGTAAATTTTTTGATTCATTTATGAATGGACAATTTTAAAATCGAATCTTGTTAAGCATACTTAACAAGTGTTCTACGGCATTCGTCCACTCTCTACAAAATTATAGTATAGTTTCTAATGAAATGATGCGACTTATTTAGTGAAAAAGTGTCATCAAAGCTTGGAAATGGGCATTGTCTTTGTCAAGCATGCTTTGAAAACCGTTTCCTTTTTCTGTTTAAGTCCGCTTAACAAATGCCATTGACCCGAAGAATGATCACAATTAGAATCTATATGTCCACGTTACAATTCATGGAAACTAAAATACATTTCAAATGCTCGTTATGCATAATGCATTTCTAGGATTTTATATGATCCATGTGAAATCATTTGTTACGGTACCCACCTCCATTATAGTTTGAAAAATTAACTAACTATCCAATTGATGGTAATGAATTCATATTGTATAAAAAATTTTACATGGGTTGGGTTTCAAAATTAATCTTTTGTGGCTTTTCCCTTCATCCCTGCCCGGAGAAAATTCCTCTAATTAGGTCTTTTGATGGTTTAGGAATATGAACATCACCCGCGTGCAAATTTTACTTGTAATAAATGTAGCTGATGTTCATATTTGTAACCTATTAAATTATAAGACTAGTTGGAAGAAGTTTACTCCAAACTTGAAACGGAAGAAGACACGATTCTTTTAGCTGCCCTTCATTCTTGTAAGTTTTATTTGTGTCCCTACAGAAGCGTCATAGGTCCCTTATTTTTACATAGAATAATACTCGACTAGAGTATTTCATATAAATACCATCGGCGAGAGAAATTTGATGTACGTGTCCTGTGTTTTTTTCCCTTTTTAACACAACCCACATTCATTACAATTGATTTTTATTGTCAATCAAGTTTTTTTATTATTATTATAACTATCCAATCAATAGTGGTAAAAGTGTGTTATATAAAAAAAAGTAAAAGGAAGAATTTCTATCCAATAAAATTGGCTATATAGGGCGTTCAATGATAACTTTGCATGCGTCTTCCCGAGGCAAAGGAGCGTTCCAACCACCGTATTGGAGTGGGACTAGCAAAAAGAGATTGAATGAGAAATTAAATTAATTACAAGGAGCAATTTTTGTGCATGCCCAATCTTTGTTTATTTTTCCCCTTGTTTCATACCCCAATGCGACTTAAATCAATCGAGGACACTATCCCTTCACGATCATGTTGCGATACAATGATGCTACAATGAGGCCGTTCTTGTTAGATTTTAAGAAAATTCCTTTCAATTTGAAAATTGCTAAATTCGATTTTTTCATCATGTGTCGCGATTTCATGAATAAGTAAATTGAAATGACTGATTGGATTTTTTTAAAGCGTGATATAACTATATCATTGCCAACTGAAGGAACATCGATTCATTGAATCAATGAACATAAAACAGATAAGCAAATCCATATTTCAAATCATGCGCGATATACCCAATGCAAAACCCTACTCGAGGGGGGCGGGAGGAACTACGAGCCTTATTGACCACGAAATCAATCTCGTAAAATGCAAATCGAAACTCGAGTAATTAGCAAGAACATAAATATAAAACAGAAAGAAATCTCGAGTGCATCGGATGTGTGGTCGTACGCGTCTTCGGGTCTTGGTCAAAGGCAGAACAAGTCAGGAATCATCTTTTGGCGGGCGCCGCAATTGGACCGGAAAGAATTTTCTATTTTTCATTTCATTGGCAATCGTTTCAGCTTACCAAAGATATAATTTGATGAAAACTAAAAAGAGAAAAAAAATAAGGGAATGATGGATGGTTTCCTAACCTATAGCTCATAGAATTAAAAGTTGGCGACAAAATATTTTTACAATTATTGTATGGCATACATGCTTATCTTCTTCTTCATGCAATCCAAATCCAAACATCATAGAGTTCGGATTCTCCTGTTCATGTAATTGTCGTATTTGAATTTCTACCGTTTATGTTCTTTTCATGGTAAATGACATCTCGAGCTAGACACGACCCATCATATCCAAAGGGAAAGTCATTGGTTAAGAGATTGTGAACTATGTTTAGATCAATTAAAATGTCTGTTGAGGCTCACGTGTGAGAGCGTTGCGGGATATAGACCCACGTCGGATAGGCGATGCAAGGTGGAACGATCAATATAATTCTAGTTGGTTTACAACTCGTTAGTCTAAACTCAAAGATAAAAGGAAATATATATTTTTTTTGGATGTGAAAAAAAGGGCTAAAAGCTAAATGCAAAAATTTAACATCGTAAATTTACTATCACTATTTTATCACTTGATAAAGCATAAATAGACTCTGTAGGAGGTAATGAAAAGAAACTAATATCCAAGCGTTTATTCATTTCAATATTAGCAAGGCGGTCAGCAGAGCGAATTCCTTCCCAAAAGTTATGTTTCGCTTTAAACTCAAAGTGAGAGCACATCAGTCTTATGATATCTTTAAACAAAGTAGGGTCAACATTATCAACCATAAGATTCGGACTAATAAGATGAGTGATAGTTTTAGAGTCAATCTCAATGGTGATCTTATGAAAAACCAAGTTGTTTTGCAAAGTTGATTCCCAATCACAAAGACCAAAGTTCTGCTTGTGTCAACAAACATAATCCTATGAATGCGGCAAAACCACCAAGTCAGTCTAAGATAATTATCCAAAAAGATAAAATCTCAAAACAAGGAAAGAATGAATCAAATCGCAACTTTGAAGATTATATCGTGTCCCACATTAGTCTCCCTTGATGATCTCCCCAGGCAAAGTCATCAGACCTCTACCGTGCGGCCTTAACACTATCTATATTCACTTAGCTAAAAATAAACCTATTCCAAGATCAATACGTCCGTAATCGCTCATACCTAACATATAGAAGTCCAAAAAGGTTTAAAAGAAGTCATTGCAAGTCCATCGTACACGATCGAAGTCATCACATCACAAGAGCATTAAACGATAGTGTCCAAACTGAACATCTCGCCAAGACACACAAACGGCGGTGAAAGCCAAATTTCGCCCCTTTTGCCCCCATTTTTCGGCTGTTTTTGCAGCAGTTGGCCTTTCGAGGGATGCATAGGATCTCTCCTAGCGGCACAGGTGCACGAACAGCGAGAGACAGAGAAGGAGGTTTGTCCTACTCGCCGATTACCATGTTGAATGCACTGATCTCGTCCACTGTTTGTCTAATCTCTGTGCTGAGTCAGTAAGCAACGTTACTCTTCGACAAAAAAAAAAACACATTACTCGAAAAATAGGGATAATTACCGAAAAACAATCGTAAATATATTGTACGGATATCAATTCAGTTCTAATCCTTTTAAATTTGACCAATTTATTTATTTTATTCAATCCTAAATATTTTGACAATTTACTAATGAAATCATTCCGGCCAATTTTGAATGAAAATCGGTGACGTGGATACTTGCTATCTTACATGGCATAGCCGCTGGCATTAACGTAGAAAGTTTTTTCAAATTTTTAAAAAATTTTCTGAATTTTTTGTATTTTTCTCTTTTTTTCCTTTTTTACTTTTTTTTTCCCATAGTGGCTGGCGAGGGCCACCAGGGCTTGCCAACCCCTGGGGCAAAGCCGCGAACCCTCACTAGAGGCTAGCGAGCCTCCGCGACTTTTGCCAACCATTGTGAAAAAGAAAAGAAAAGAAAAAGATAAAAAATTCATAAAATTTTAATAAAATTTGAAAAAGTGAAAAAATTATTTACGTCGGTTTTGGTTGTCTCACGTAAGATGGTCAACATCCACGTCGGTGTTTTTCAGCAAAAATTGGCTGGAATAATTATATTGAAAAATTGCCAAAAAGTTGAGGACTAAAATGATCAATTGTTAGGTTTAGGACTGAATTATTATCCGTACAATAGGTTTAAGATTTTTTCGGTAATTTTCCCTTGAAAACATCGTTATGTTCATTAATTTTTGTTTGTGAAAATGAGATTGTTATCAATGATTGTAAAAAAAAATCATAAAATTTTAATAAAATTTTAAAAAGTGAAATAATTATTTACGTTAGTGCCGGTTGTATCACGTAGGATGCTCAATATCCACGTCAGTGTTTGTCAGTGAAAATTAGCTAGAATAACTATATTGGCAAATCATCCAAAAGTCGAGGACTGAAATGATCAATTGTTAGGTTTAGGACTAAATTAGTATCCGTATAATAGATTTAAGATTTTTTCTAAAATTTTTCCCTTGAAAACATCGCTGTGTATATAAATTTTCGTTTGTGAAAATAAGATTATTTTCTATGATTGAGATTTGTCGAGCAACTAAGGAGAGCACCGTGAGAGGTAGAGAACCAACATCGAGGCTCTCGAAGCGTCTAATAATTAATTTGTTTCTCAAACTTGAAGTGAATAATACGATGGATAAATTGCATTAAATAGACCGGCATAATTTGCTCCACCACTGTAGAATCCCTGGGTTCTTGCCCGTATGATGATGACCCTATACATGTGTGGGAGATGAAAAGCTGAGGACATGCAGCCTCTGCTCCTCGGAACTCATAAAACTCCTAATTGCATGCAGCAAAATTGGACCACTAGAGCAACTTTCTAGAGAGAGATCGATCGATCGATCGATCGATGTACAGGCTGGCGAGAGAGATCCTGTTGTTTTTGTAAAGCTTTCTCTTCTTTCGTTTGGTTAGAGGAGAGTCACATTGCCCGTTTCATTAAACTATATATCAACTTCCTCCTCGAAGATCTTCTTTATATATAACTCTTAGGTTAAAATGTATGCGTGCGGAGTACTCGATTTAGTATTATATTTCACATTGCCCGTTTCATTAAACTATATATCAACTTCCTCCTCGAAGATCTTCTTTATATATAACTCTTAGGTTAAAATGTATGCGTGCGGAGTACTCGATTTAGTATTATATTTCACTTGATAATCTTGGAAAAGAAAGACAATCCCGTGATCACAAAACCAACCACGTTCAAAAAAAGTGTCAAGGTAGTAGGCAGGATATTATGGAACAATGACTTAATAAGTAAGTAGGGACAGATCCCATCATGGCCCAAAAATTAAAAGAAGAAAGAACGAGTATTGATTTTCTTGTCGATGATGTTTTTCCTTAATCGTGGACCGACAAGAGCTGCCACTGATGAGACTAACCACGACCCCGTTTCTCGTTTGACCAAAGGGCTCAGAAATAAATCGCTGGGTAGAAATTTTACTCAAGATCTCAAGTTTCTTGAATTGAGGAGATAATGAATCTCAATCGGATAACCACTCGACCGATCCCTAAGAAGACGAGATTACTTTAATGCTATTGGATGAAGAGGACGTTCCTTTACCTTACGGTATGTGTAAGTATGCTTACGTCTCTTTTTACTCTATCTTTATAGTATGATCGAACAGATTAAGCACAAAAGAACCATGAATGATTCTATATGTCATGGGCTTAAATCCACGCAAAATAAAGTTCTCAAGGCCCTAGCCCAGGTCCAACTGGTAGTCAAACTCTTCAGACAACTAATGGCCGTTGACTTTGGGTGGGTCAAGAAAACTACTCTTCCTTATGATCAGAATTCCCTCTCTCTCTATCTCCCTTTGTGCCAAGGCAGGCGTTGACTAGCAAGTGCATGAATCATCTGCCACGACCATCATCCACAAGCAAAGCAACCACTCCTGTCCAATCGACATGCTTTGACCTTGCCAATAAACAATCCTTACAAGATCGTGCGCAGGATCGACACCCCCGAATGTTTAAGATGCCCCCTTTTCCCCTCCAATGGATCAGCATCACTCGTTCTGACGCCACCAGCACCAGCATACTGCAGAAAGCTAAGGTTGGATTGCCCTAAGCGACGTCGCGCATCTCTCTGGTGTTGATGCTGAACAACTACCGACCATTTCAACGGACCGTGCATATCCAGTTTCTTAGGCTTTGACATCTCTTGAAGGGGGTTCGATTCTTGGATATGCTGCACGGTCATACTGATCCATCCAAAGATTAATCCGGCCTCAGTGGATTCCACGTCTCTCGATATAAAGGGGTTGGTAAAGGGGGCGACACGATTGGAGGGTGACCACCGCATTCCTCCAAAAGATTAAAGAGCAAAAGAGCCCGTCCCTTTTGGATCCAAATCGAAGGGAAGGAATTTCCCTTGTCATCTTCCACCACGCCACACCATGGAGCGATATCACTTGCTTGGATCCAGTAGTCCCACCACTTCTGATCACTATCATTTTCGCGATTTTATGTAATGCCCGTTTGATTATGTTTGATGAAGTCGCACATTTGTTTTGTATGTTTTACGTATAGTAACGAGACCCCTCCATAAGGCGGTTGATTTCGTTGAATCGTGTACGGTAATAATCACTGTTATAGATAGTACCGAACTCACGTTGTATATATCATATAGAAATGGTCTTAATCACCATATGTGTGTCTATTGACGAATGGATTGAAAGTTACTGAAATCGAGGATTGACATTCAACACATAAAACTGTTTATGTCTTGAGATATTTCTTGAGCCGACATCGTTATCGTAAGATCTAGAGAAAGATGTAATTTTGTGTTAGCCTGATCTTTGAAAAGTCAACTGGCCGGGCCAGGATGGGACCGTGCGTTTACGTGCATGGGCTCTTGACCAAGCATTCATATCTCTCGACGGCGCTCGCGGGAAGCGCCACCATCACCTTCACGGCGTCGCTCCTGTCATGCAGCGGGAGGAGCAAGCAGTACCGGTCACAGCAGACGGGCCCCACGTTGACCGGTCTTCCCATCCCGAAGTCAACCCTATCCAGTCCGAGCCTCGACCACTGCGACACTATGAGGACCCCGACTGAGTCAGGACATGCCCTCGACTCGCTCACCGTCTCCACCACCGTCCTCACGTACTCGTCGTCGATTCTGTCTTTCTCTCTCTTCACTAGCATCGTCGCGAACCCTAGACCCTTCTCCGCGATGTCTTTGACGCTGGCCTGTGCGCATGCGAGGACGAACGCGTTGCCGTAGTATCCACTCGGAAGGCTCGGCTTGACTCGGTTTCGAACATTCACGCTGAAGAGAAGCTTTAGCGTCTGATTTGGAGGCAGGTTTAGCGATCTTGCCCAGCTTCTCCATATATGAGCCGTGACAACTTCGAACGACGTGAATGCCGAGTCGCTGAGTCGACCTGTGGACGAGGCAAGCCTTTTGAGCTCGTCGAGAGAGGCCCTGTTGAAGGTGATTGAGGTCGGGATGAGCCTTTCGTTGGTGAAGCGAGATGTGAAGCTGCAGAGGTCCGGAACTCGGTTGAACTCGGGGTGAGTTTGCGCTGCCGAGCTGTGCACGCCGCCGCAAGGGAGACGCCGCGGCATTGGCGGGTCCATGAGGTGGCGATCCCAAACAGTCTTAGCCTTGGGCTTGGGCTTGGCCTTGAGCTTGAGGGCGAGTCCTCCGAGTTTGGCTAACTCGGCGAACGAGTTGAGGAACTCCGCACTCCCGATGCCATCGCACAGGCAGTGCTTGATCCCGACGGCAAGCGCAGCAGCGCCATCCCTGAGCCACGTTAGCTGGACAACGAGTGGTGGGGGCTCCTTGAGCACGTCGGCCACGTGGAGCGATAGGAGCCCCCGCCACTCTGTCACGTGCTTTGGGGGCCGCTCGAAGTCGCTGATCACGATGTGGTCGGCCACGGCCTCGATGAAAAGCACGCCTTGCGCCCGACACAGCACTTCGAGCCTCGAGCCGTCCGGCTTGGCCTTGACCCGGCCTGCAAGCGGATAATACGGAACCAAGGCTTGAGCGAGTGCGCCCTTCAAGCGGACCGCCACGCGATCGCGATCCAACCCGGGGTGAGGCTTGTAGACGAGGAGGTACTCGATGGTGAAGCCGAGGAAGAGCTGCGAATCGAGGGCCGAGAGAGCGAGGATCTTCGAAGGAGTGGGCTCGACCGGAGAGACCAAAACGGCGTCCTTGACGGAAACGTGACTTCCCATACCGAACGGCAGTGGTTAGAACTGGAAGAGAGGATGTTGGGCTATATATGTTTGCGGAGGTGTTTTTTCTTTAAGGTCTGCTCAGTGGTCTTTGCTTAGCGAAATGCGTGTAATATGTAATTTGTAGTTGTGATTATTCTACACTATTCTTTACACAACTTAAGGTTTGTCTTTGCTCTCCCCCCTCTCACTGTGGAAGATTTATGGCAGGATTCTGCGCATCACTTTATGGGAAAAAACGAAATAAGAAAAACTATGTTAACAGTTCGGGTTTGCTTTGTCTCTCTTCGGCTGAGTGATAGCTCTCTTTTCTCGACAAAGTATTAGGTCATGCAGGGAATATTTAAAGTGCTTGACTTGATTTATTTCTTACCGCAGAGTACATTATTTTTACACACACACACACACACACACACACACACACATATATATATATATATATATATATATATATATATATATATATATCTCTTTCAAAATGACGGTCTAAGATTACTTATGTGCAGTTATGAACGCAACCCCTTTTTGGTATTTATAATATTATATGCGAATAATTCTTAAAATGTCTGTTTCAACATTGATATCTCCTCCAGCAAAATTATTGTGCATAATAGTAAATTTGCAAGGGGGGTTGATGGACGTCGATGCTGGGACCTGTCTAGCTTGTGTCTGCAATATCTCCAAAATAGATTAGTGCCGACCTTATTGATTTCCTTTCAGTGCAGACATGCATGATCAATCGCTAAAAATAGTACAATAAAAAACCTCGATGTAATGAAAGGAGATGATGACGACCTTTTGGGGTGGGGACGACGTCAAAATTCAATAAATTAGCTCCATGGTGTTTCCTCTGTCCCCTCCGTCGGACATTCCGTGGACCCAACCATTTCCCCAGACCTTATTTTAAGAAGGAAAAAATAATTTGGCAAAAGCAAAAGGGAACAGATAAATATGGAAAGAAGTTAATGATGCACGACTATGATTATCGCATGAAGCAGTAAAGGACAGGTGAAATTAGGGGAGGATGTCCACCAGTAGAGAAATCATCTTCCCCGGTTATCAGGGTCATTGGGCCACGTTGTACCTCTTTGTCCCGCTGAAGAAAATATAAACTATGATGATCTTATGTTTATTCTCTAATTTGGGTATCATGTTCAAGGAAACTTTCGAAATTTTAAATTAGTTATGCTCCATTTTGGCTTGTCTTATATGTAGGTAGAATTTTAATGTTGCTAATTAAGATATAGGATTTTTTTTTTTTGTTAATTTCGTTATCCCAACATAAGATACAGAAGAACTCCATAATGGTCACTCGATAAATAGGTTTCATAAAAAATATCTGAGCAAGTTTTCACGACTTAAAAAAAAGGACAGCATCAAGCAACAACTTGTGGTGAGGCACACTCCTGTCTGTCGGGGGCAAATGGGGCCTATTAGCATGAGCTAGATACTTAATAGAATGATTAGAGTAGGTCAGATTAATTAAAGCATATGTGTCTTAGCATAAGCCGTGCTTTCCCTAGTTTGCTTTTCTTGAAATTCCGCATTCTTAGTAACCATTGGGTTGCTAGAACTAAAATTTCATTCATATCGTATCCTCCATAGTCTTTTCATAGAATGGGAGGATATAATCTTCCAAATAGCCTTACAACCCCAAATATTTAGGCCAGCACAAAACAATGCACTTTATCTAATATACGATGTTTATTCGATACACATCACTGTCACCGTTGAATGAATGATATATGCGTTTGAGAATTAGTCACATTAACAAGCTTCCGCACGTATCGGGCTTTCAAGAATGATAATGAGGTATTACTATTGTTAGATTATTGCTGTGCATAATGAAATTCGGTATGGATATATTTGTCTCGTTATACATCTTCCTTTGACAGTTCAAGGGTTGTGAACAGATATATCTAGGTGGAACGAATAGTTGAAAGAAGAACTACAACATCATAAAAGGGTTAATGTTGAATATACATGTTCTTTTGATTTTCGTGTCATTTTAGATTAAACGAGAAGACGGTTACGTTAAAGCTTTATCATCTAGATTTCCATGATTTCTACTTTATACCTTTTAAGCGATACATAATAAATACGTACACTCTTTTCTCCTCCCAAAAAGGGATCATGAGTTGCACTCGATATATGGAAAAAGCAAATGCCTTGAGATGCCAAAAAATTTGAGCAAACCAAGATATACCCAGAGCTATCAGATATGCCTTAGCTTACATTAATAAAGAATTGAAGCCCCTTGGCTCCAAGAGCACGAGACCTAAAAAGCGTAGAAAGATTAACCTCTCTTTCAAAGGTTCGCTTTCCATTCCTATTCATATATGCTTTTAGCTCCCCCATCCACGAGGAATGCCGCATATTTTAATGAAAAGAAAGATTTATATGATCTCATTTCGCGGACTGTATGATAGACAGAACCAATTACAGTATAAAAAAATACGAGGGAACAGCGCTTTAGAGTAGATACAAGAGTAGCAAAGTTCGGGAGCTATGTCTTGTACGTCCCTTTTGTCTTTACATTGAACCGAGATATTTGCGAATTCGATTAATTTATTATGCTAATTTAGAGGGTGTATCGAGTTGGGAACTTGCAGCATGGTGATGCTGTGTCCACCACATTGTGGTATTGCTGAACGCATGAAAAAGGGGGATCGGCTAGGGTTTTTATGAAGTTTCACTTTATTCTTGTAGATATGGACTACATGCCCATGATGCATGAAATTGATTTCTGTGTTGATATGATACCGTCCAATTTGATGCAAAAAGTTGTTGGTTGTTCCTTTCATTTTCCTTGACATTGATTGGCGATGGTTGCTAGCCATGTATGGCTTGAAATAAAAGACCACTTTCTGTACCTTTACCAATCATTTTCAAAGTTTCATATATATATATATATATATATAAATCTTGACAAATGGAAGATTCATTTAGACTCGTCTTAATAACCCAGTCTCAATTCTAATTAATGAGAGCAAACCAAAGTTCAATAATCAAACAAAAGAATATGAATCTTACATTTAAGTGTATGGACTTTATCTACCACATCAACTGTCAAATGAATCTACCTCATTTTTTTCCTCAACAGGGTCGCCCTAAAATTATCACGGCTCTATACAAGACAAGCATTTAACTAATCAATGGAAACCATCCTTGATTTTTCATGAACCATCAATAAAACATGCCTCAGATTCTATTAAACATGGTACAATTTAACTGTAATATCTTGGTTCTAACATAAATCTCGACAAACGGAAGATTCATTTAGACTCGTCTTAATATATCGAGTCTCAACTCTAATTAATTAGTGCAAATCAAAACTCAATAATCAAACATAAGAAGATAGATCTTACATTTTAGTGTATTGACTCATCTACGACATCGAATGTCAAATGAATCTACCTCATTTTTTTCCTCAATAGGGTCGCCCTCAAATCACCTCAGCTTTATACAAGACAAGCGATTAACTAATCAATAGAATCCGTCTTTGATTTTTCATGAACAATCAATAAAATCAGCCTTAGATTCTATCAAATTTAAATGTAATATCTAGGCTTTGGATGGTCTGCATTAGATCCTATAGATGTCCTAGATGATCTGTGATCTTGAATCACGGTTCCTGCTGTACGAGGATTTTTTGAAAATCTTTAGTGGATCCGGAATTAAAACAATATTTTGTTATTGCGGCACACTATGCATAGATAGTCTTAGTCTCGATCTCCCCTCATCGGAGGAAGTAATTAAAGCTGTCTTAATCTTTCTGACCAAAGCGGCTCAATATTTCTAGCGGGAATAAATGCAAGAGAAGTAGCATCACCTTGTCATTCCTTCCATTCTTCCTCATCTTAAGCCGATTTTCAAATTTGCTCTTAAAAGGGGGAATTTGTGTTATTATAGATATCTCTTTGAAATCAATCGCTTTGGCATCAAAGCTTGGTATAGATTTGAATTGAACGGAATATATGAAGCATGATTCGAACCAAAATAGCTCTTCCGCACGCATCACCGAGTTATGTTAGGAATCTAAAGGTTTTTCATATATATATATGAACAAAAGAACAAAGCAAATCTTGGGGGTTTATAAATGCTTCCTCGATAAGCGGGGAAAAAGCCATCCTAGCTATACTGTGTTCTCATGGACCCTATCTATATTGAAAAATATTTGGAGGTATATTGATATTTTGGCGACAAGGCCAAGGACAAAGTTGGCTATTTGAAAGGGAATGGATGTGCATTAATTGGGCATGCATGTGCCTCCAAAGAAGAGGCAGGCTCTCCTCCCTTCGTCGTCTCCACGGTCCTGCGACTTTTACGTGGTCTTGCGGGTGCCGACATAATTTTTGTTCCCATAGCAATCAATTCAATAACAATGTACAAAAATGGAGGGGACATATTTTCTAAGTTGAGTCGAATCAAGTCGAGTCGGTCCAAGATATAAAAAGAAAAAGTCGATAGGAGTCGAAGCCATTTATTTCAAACCGAAGAAGGTGGATTGACTTGATGCATTCGATGACCTTCGAGTTAGTGTTTGGCTCCTAAACGGGTAATTTCAAACTCGAAGTCTTATGGACTAAGATCGACTGACGGGGTTACAAGCCGAATCTATGGGAAATGGTTTGGAAAGCTTTCAAATTCAAGAGTGTCTCTAGCCCAAAGATCGTGCTTATAGGAGTAGATGCTGCCGTTTAGGTCTCATTTCAATCTGATTCTCACTTAAGATTTAAGTGATTAGTTTAATGTTAAGAAAGCAAATTCGTGGAAGGGGACCAACTGGATGCAATCCACAAAATGCTTCTCCACCAAGGAATATTGCTGTCGTAATTTAGGCAGGGAGCTAGGGGAACCGACGACTCTGGAAGGCAATAGTTGTTACATCAAACATTAAAGTGACCAATATGTATTTAACCAAAAAGATGCCCTTGTCTATTCCTACCGATCGCCGTACCACCGTCCTATTAATTTTCTTTTAGGATGTTCTGCATTCTAGAGAGAGAGAGAGAGAGAGAGAGAGAGAGAGAGAGAGAGAGAGAGAGAGAGAGAGAGAGAGAGAGAGAGAGAGAGAGAGAGAGAGAGAAGGGTCCTTTTCAATTGAATTGAAACAATATTCGAACACGCTTCTGTACCATCGTGGAAATATCGTGCTTCTTTTATAGCCATGAACATATGAGCGATCGTAACATTAAGTGATTAATAGCGTTTTCACTGAAATAGTTGACCGACAGACCATAGCTACAACAATAATAATAGCAGGATTTGTTGAAGAACATGACATGCTGAAAGATTTCCTTGAATTCTAACTATTACAGATTTATTTTTCCTTTTCCTGTGCTTTTCCTTTCTTGATTTGAGTTGAAGAGTGATTTAATTTGTAAATGGAACTATAGCTGAATAATTTGTATTCCTATAGGGACATGATAAAAAAGATGTAGTTCAAATGATAAGCATTTTATATGTCGTTCTAAAAAGTAAAAGGAAAAAAGCCATCAAAAACTATAAATTATGTCCACTATGACATATGTACCATAAATTTTTTTTTCTGTGACACCTAAAATCCCAAACTTGTACTTATGTGATACAATTACCCTCCATCAAAGTTCTGTCAATGAGAACTGTTAAAAACATACCCCCATGGATGCCAGAAAGCAAAACAATATTGACATGGCGCCAATGTGGCTTAATTAAGTGAAGTAAAAACGATGTTGTTTTGGCTAAAAAATCATCTAATGGAACCTTGACGAAAGGTAAATATGTCACATGTACAATCTTGGAGTTTTTTATGTTACAAAAAAAAGTTTAGGGTAAATGTGTCACAGTGGACATAGTTTGGGGTTCTTGTGACTTTTTCCCAAAGTAAAAATCAAGTACCCAGAATATGACTTAGTAAAATCGAAATTTTTTCTATGTTGGTAAATTTCTGAAGGACATGGTAAGTCCCAAAAAATTTCGGTAAATAAAGGTTACCGGCCTTTGTGAATAATAAAAGAAGGTATCAAAAGGGAATTGTGACATCCCTAGATTAACTCAGTGAAGTATCATCTGTTTTTGCCCGTCCCATACCGAGCCTCATGGTTTTGTTCTTTGACATATAGATGGCCATCTTCCCAAGAGGTTACCCATCCTGGGAGTGCTCCCACTTGAGTATACTTAACTTTGGAGTTCCAAAATTAAGTATTGCCATTATGTCAAAAGGCGTCTCCTCAAGTTTATTCTATTTTCACATATATATCCTAAAGTCGCTCTCTCATGTTTATTGTATAATTCGGTTTATTTCTATCCCCTTCACCATTCTAGAAGCCTACCAGGAGCCGTTCTTTGTCCAAGCCCTGGTGATCACTCCCCACCCTTGTCGGATTGGATTGTTACTAGACAACTCAAATGAGAATTAATAAACAATAACTAGTTGGTAACTTGATCAGGAAAAAGTTGATAAATCACTCAAATTAAATTTAGTAATACAAGAGTTGATAAATTTAAGTCGGATTGGATTGTTACATGAACAACTCAAATGAGAATTAATAATCAATAACTAGTTGGTAACTTGATCGCAAAAAAGTTGATAAATCATTCAAATTAAAGTTAGTAATACAAGAGTTGATAAATTTAAGCCATTGTTAAGATAAGTAAATAAAAGTTTGTTAAGAAAAGGAAGATTGGTAACTAAAGAAAAATAAACTTGCTAATTACTCGAATGATATTTAGAAACTCAATTTGAGTAAAGCTGGATACTGCTCTAATTAAGGTTAAGAATTTCTAAAAAGGTTGATAAATTCAAGGCTTTGCAAAGAAATGCAAATAAAGTTGTAAACAATAAAAAAAAAGTCGACAAATTAAAGAAGCTAAATATATGTCGTTAAGTAATTCAAATAGAAACCGGTAACCAATAATATGTATGAACTTAATTGGAGAAAAGTTAAAAAGTTACGCTAATCTAAGTTTGAATCTTTAAATGACTTTATAAATGTAGGTGGTTGCTAACAAGGCAAATAAAAGTTGGTAACTCAATAGAAAAGCTAATAAAATATTGTAGAAAAATAATTAAAAGCCGACAACTAATCCAACTAAGAGTTAGTAACTCAAAACTGTTGATAATTTAATCTGACAACAGTTAATAAGTTACTCTAATTTAGGTTGGTAATTTCATAAAAATGTCAGTAAGTTATATTATTAAAAGTTGGCAATTTCATAAACCCGTTTGTAAGTTACCCATATTTTACCCGAAAAGAAGTCACCGGTCACATTTTCTATCAACGATTTTTTAACAGTAAGCTACAATTATTGAAATTCACCAGTATGAAAAAATCCTCATTTTTTTTGTGCACAGAATAATAGAAATTCTGCCTGCATTTTTTCAAATGATTTGTGGAGTGAAAAATCGGGAAGGAGGAATTTAAAAGTACAATACCTGTTGGTTCACAAAGAGAATAATAATTAAAAAAAAAGGATTTAAAGCAGGGAATTTTAGGTCAAAGTAGGTCCTCCAGATGCATAAAACAAAGTTGATAAATTTCTTGAAAGCATCTAAAGTTATTGAGAAAAAGATGCAGGGGGGTGGCGATAAGATGGCAAAATCAACGAATACATCCTTCCTTTTCTTGATAGACATGCATGCACGGCTGTGCTCCTTTCTAGGGTTTCTTTCCTTCTTGGTTTTCCATGGACACCCCGTCGCTCCTTTTCACAAAAAGCAAAGAAACTCAGGCTGTAGATTACACTTTGACTAATCTCTTTGCTTTATCATCAAAAGATAAAGATCATTTGAATAGACTTTTAGGAAACAATTTCTTTCGGTCGTATACATACATCTAGATATCCTCCTAAAGTTTCAACTACCCATTGTATTGTACTCCATGATTAGCATCATCGCTCAATGATTAGCGCATAGATTAATCGAGGATGGTGTGGTGATGTTCTGTGTTTTGTCGCCGTGTTTCTCCATGCGCGAAGACGAAGATATTGTTGGGGTTTTAAGGAAGATTGGGACTTCGATCTCACTGATTTTGTGCCATGTGATATGTGGACTCCATTTGCCTTGAGAGATCGAAACTTTTTTCTAATTTAAGTGTGTTTGACGCCGCGCGTTAGTTAAGATTGGCTTAAAGCCACATCCATTTTTTTAATTCTAGTCGAGGCAGTGACCAAATATGGCCTTTCAAAAGATAAGGTAAAAAAAAATCAAACAAAAAAAAGGTAAGGTCAAGCTTTGCATGTGAGACTGTCAGTCCATTCCGTGGGCTGGTTTCATCCAAAACCATGGGTTCTTCATCATTGCTCGCATGTTCGTCGGCTCGGTATGTATTAAAATATTAAAATATCAAGTCAAGCATCCATCTGACAGTATAAATGTATAGAATAGTCAGAACGACAGTAATCCTGTGAGATTTCACATGATATTAGAATAAGAGATTCCCCGAGTTCGAATCTTTTATGCGCGAGGAGGGAGGTTGGGAATGATAGAATACTTAAATATTAAAGGGAAAATATCACCAAAAACTCCAAACTATTTCACTTATGATAATTTACCTTGAATTTTTTTTTGTGACACGAAAGACCCTAAACTATGCCACATGTGACAAATTTATCCTGAACTTTTTTTTGTGACACGAAAAATCCCAAACTATGCCACTTATGATACATTTACCCCACAATACTTTGGCCCATGGCATTTTCGTCTTTTTCCTTTTTCTGTTTTTTTCCTTTTTTTCTTTTCTTCTTGACAAGGCGATCGGCGTCGGCGAGGCTACCTCGGCCGGCATCGGGCAAGGGCGACCCTCGCCCGACGCCGGCGACAGTCGCCCTCGCCTGGGCAGGCGAGGCTACCCTCGCCCGACGTTGACGAAGGCAGCCCTCGCCCTCGCTCGACGCCGGCGAGGGCTACCCTTGCCGGAGAATAAAAGAAAAAAAAAAGGAAAAAAAAACAGAAAAAGGAAAAAGACGAAAATGTTCATGGGCCAAAGTATTGTGGGGTAAATGTGTCACAAGTGGCATAGTTTGAGGTTTTTCGTGTCACAAAAAAAGTTCAAGGTAAATTTGTCACAAGTGATATAGTTTGGGGTTTTTCGTGTCACAAAAAAAAATTCAAAATAAATTTATTACAAGTGACATAGTTTGAGGTTTTTTGTGGTATTTTTTCAATATTAAATCACAACGTATGAATTTTTAGATTACTTGACGCGGATCTCACAAGATTTCATATGAGGCAGTTGGCAGTAAAATTTATGAGTGCATGTGGATCTATTTGCAAACCTACAGGTCAAATCCTTTTTAGGTAATCATGCACTTATTTGATACATGTTGTCTTAATGATTCCTTCCTTTGATTGTATTCCACTATTTTCTCCTTTGTCCATTTCGTTCACAAAATATTCAAATTCGGACCTTTCCTCGTGAGGAAATAACCTCTTTCCACCCAAAAGTGTAAAAACCATGCTTTCAAAAGCCAAATTTGGCAAATTTGGCAATTTCTTTTCCACCAAAGAAAAAAAGCCAAATTTGGCAATTTCTTTTCATCGCGGAAGAAAAGGAAGATGCAAATAATTGATAATGTCAAAAGGATTTGAAGGGGGGCTAATGCAAAAAGAAAAAGCATCAACCTTTAACTTGAGTGACAATTCTAACCCGAACTTTTTTTGTCTCAATAAAAAATACCAATTTTTACTCGAATCTCAAATCCAGCTCCCGTGATGTGAAATTTTCAAATTGTTCGGGCCGTATTTGAGATTTAATTGAAAGTTTGTGATTTTTTATGAAACAGAAAAAAGTTCGAGTCAGAATTGTCACCCAAAGTAAAATTGATGTTTTTTTTGGAATTAGGCCCTTATTACGTGATGGGCTTGACCGTGCTCGAACACGACTCTCCTTAGACCCGATTGCCAAGCCTAATGTTCCTATGTGCGCCCGGCTCGCGCTCGCCCAAACCCATCCGAGACTCATCATAGATCTATACACCATCGTCTAATTTGTGGACACAAGCTAGGTAGAACTTTTTCCTTTTCGAAAAATAGAAAAAAAAAAAATCAATCTAATATACCTAGTGAAAATACAAAACATTGGAGAAATTGGGCTTCGTAAAGCGAAAGGCCCATCAAAGCCCAAGGTTCGGCCCACAGACAAGATCAGTCCTTGAGTTTTTCTCTGCTCCGTTTCTTCTTCGCCCGCTCAACCCTGGCCTCGACCACCGCACCGCAATGACCTTCCTTCGCGGAGCCGCGCGGAATCCCCGGTCCGCCGCTGCCGCCGTCGCCCGCCCACGCGCCTCCTCGAACCCCAACCCCACGCCCATCGTCATCCGCGACGAGCCCACCAGCGCTTACTACGACGACCTCGTGAACGCCGCCGGCCGCCACGGCGACTTCGCCACGGTCCGCAACCTCCTCAACAAGCGCGTCCGCGACGGCTGCTTCAACACCGGCGACACCTTCAGGTTCCTCACCCAGGCGGAGACCTCCCTCTCCGCCCTCGACGACCTCATCCGCGCCCTCTCCCGCCTCGACGGCGGCTTCCCCCGGAAGAGCGCCTTCGACGCTCTCATCGCCCGCCTCTGCCGCCTCGGCCGCCCCGAGGACGCCCTCCGCGCCGCCGAGACGATGGCGAGCGGCGGCTTCGGCCTCAACCCGGTCACCTTCCACCCGATCCTCAACCTCCTGACCCGCCGGGGCGACTTCGAGGGGGCGCGGCGGGTGGCGGGCCTGATGAGGGACCGCGGGGTGTCCCCGGACCTGACGGCGCACAACTACTTCCTCACGGCGCACTGCTACCGGGGCGACCTGGCCTCCGCCGGGCGGGCGATGGAGGAGATCGAGCAGGAGGGGCTCGGGGCGGACACCCGGACGTACGACGCGCTGGTGCTGGGGGCGTGCAGGGCGGGGAAGGTCGGGGCGGCGGTGGGGCTGCTGCGGCGGATGGAGGGGGAGGGGGTGTCGCCGCTGTACAGCACGCACGCGCATGTGATAAAGGCGATGTCGAAGCGGGGCTGGGCGGCGCAGGCGGCGGAGCTGGTGAGGGCGTACGCCGGGAGGGACAGGGCGCTGGACGGGGAGAGCTACGGGGTGCTGGGGAGCGAGCTGATGAGGCTGAGGAAGGTGGAGGAAGCGAGGAGGGTGGTGGAGGAGATGGCGGAGAAGGGGCTCATCATGGGGGAGAAGCTGAGAGAGTTTTACAGGTCGAATCCCAATGTTGGGTAATTTACTAAACTTAAGTCATTTTGGACTTTGGAATCCTTTTGATCCGATGAGCAATGCGGTCTATAAGATTTGCCCCTTTATGATCATGTCATAAGTTCCAATTCAATATTGAACATTGCGGTGTATAAGATTTGCCCCTTTATGATCATGTCATAAGTTTCGATTCAATAATGAACGTTTTCATACGGTTCAGGAATTAGTTTGAATATTTATCAAAAGTTCAGGGATCACGTTGAACAAATTAAAAGTCCGGGTACGACATTGCACGTTGGGCTAAAGTTTAAGTACTACATTGAACAAATTAAAAATTCATGGATCATATTACACATTGGACTAAAGTTCATAGACTATTTGTATTATTATACAATTATCCACATCAGCTGCAATTCGAGGCAACGTCGTCGTGTGATCAGACGGCCAAGCAGTCAAGAGTGGTGGCACGAAGAGCGAGTGTGATGTGACCCCTCACATCAGATCGTTCCTCGATCTCAATCATGATCAATTTGTGCCACTTGAGGTGGGTTGAGATGTAGCCGAGGAAGCATTCTTATCTCGATCTCGACGTCATATTATCTCAACACCTTCAAAAATCCCATGGTTGAAGGTAACAAATGCGCATTGTGAGGAAAAAACAAAAAACAAACTCGGGATTATTAACAGATAGCTAGAAAAGCCGATTACGAAATCTCTCTTGGTATTATAGCCAAGTTCTACCTTGCTTCATTTCGCATGTGTTCAAATTTTACACATCGTTCTTAATCGGCTTACACATGAGAAGGGCGTTAAAATATTTAACATCACTTGTCTAAGGGATTTATACGCTCTTTAAAAAAATATATCGTCTCTCTCCACTTAGCAATTTAAGTTTTTGAACGGGACATTCTAACAATTACCTTATTTTTCATTCCTCAATGATGAGACGAGCGAGTAATGAATGATGGCCTGTCGAACTTAATCCTAGAGTATTCAATAAAATAAATCGCACGAGAAGCACAAGCTCATTCTCTTATCCAACCATTTCGTTAGGTTGTCCTAACATAGTCTAAGCTTAAGCATTTGGCTTTACGTGCTACTTAAAAGAATTGCATCGATGAGAACTAGCCATAAGAAAACAGAGAGAGGAAAAGCAAGTTTTGCACAGATTCAGAAATTTGTCGATCGGCCACCTACGAGATTCGGTTTCAATTTTTAGCAGCTAAGTCAAATGAATTTCCTTTTTTCCCAATTCATAGGATTAGATAACAAAAATCTTGTCCTCAAGCAACAATGGAGACTTGTAATAGAAACGGTATGCATTTTGATTTGAGAATTGAATCAGACAAATCTACCCAGACAAACACTGGGGATCATGAGATGCGTTAAAAGGCTGCACAGTCTAACCAAACGCATTTGCTTTGAGCAAAATACACTTGAGCCAAAGAGCTTTGGGGAAACGATTTTGCATTTTCTTAAAGTTGAACCAAACGGGCCCTAAGACTCCTAACCATTCTCATCCTGTGTTTAGGTTCTTTTTCTTGTTCGTCTGCTTCTTTCTATTTCTATAGATTTCCATGGATAGAATCGGCAAGAACCTTACAAGGTGGGTTCTGGGGGTGGTATAGCTGGTAGAATTATTCCTACTGTATCCACAATCTTCGTATCCATATAAAAAAAATATTGTACCATCTCTCGCCGCGAACGGCGACTTTTGCTCCAGAATAATTGAATCCCATCTATAGTTATTGCGAATGTCGCATGCTCTTCAATATAATAAACGCTACTTGGCCAAATGTATATTTATATATCTATTAAAAGATGTATGCTAATCCTGGAAGATTTCAAGCTTGCAGAGGTCAGGAACTAGAATAGCTTCTCCAGTCAGCACACCTTAGCCTCGACGTTGCGTTGCCTAATACGACACTCCGAGTAGTTTCATGAACATTTCACCAGAGAGCTCTCAAAGCCACCCACAGGTCCAAAGCCAGAGTTTGACGAGGCAAATTCTTATTCCAGAAATGCTTAAAAAATTGGACTTTTTTGGTTTGAAAACTCACTGTGATCGTAACGAACCCACCGAGGCCGGACTTTCCACCAGGTGGCGGCAACCCAGAAGGCCTCCACTCCTTCCTAACACCCATCCAATTGTCTTTAGTCATATACTGTACAAACAGAAGCAGTCAAGAGTCTCTGCAATTAAATTAATCCTGAGAAGAATGGAATTCTCTTCAAGCAATTAAATAAAGAACGATAAAAGAAGAACCCACCATGATATCAACGATGGCTGGGGACATAAAACCCTTTGGAAGCAGCAACACCAATGGATGTTTCTCCTCTTCTTCCCTTGCGTCCTCCAATGGCTTTCTCTGGCTTCTTGCCAACTGGGGCTTTATTGGATTCACTCATTCACATATCGAATGAAGTCTCTTCCATGGAAAAGTTCCCTTTTGTCCAGGTCAGGAACACATCGACCATGATCAGGAGGATCAAGCTTCTCTCGTCCTTGTTCGAAGAGATTCAAGAGACAAACACAAAGCTCCCACCTTCTTCAATACTGTGCCTGACCGAGTTGTTCTCCGTGATACAGAGAGTGAAGCTTGTCATCCAAGGTTGCAAAGATGGCAGCTGCCTCTGGAACCTGATGCAAATAGAGTATATCTCGAAACAGTTCTATGTATTGGTGAAGGAAATGGGACGAGCGCTTGATATCTTGCCTCTGAGCTTGCTTCACATAACAACTGACATCAGAGAGCAGGTTGAGCTCCTTCACAAGCAAGCGAAACGGGCCGAGCTCATCGTCGATAACAGAGAGCTTCAAAGGAGAGATGATCTCCTGAGACTGATGGCTTCCAACAACGAGAAGAACAGCAAGAACAAGGGCTTTGTTGATTTCGACAAGGTGAAGGACCTTTTGAGCGACATTGGTTTGAGGGATCCACTGGATTATGAGGAAGAGATATCGAAGCTAGAGGCCGAAGCACAGAGGCAAGCCGGGACGGGCGGACTGATCGTGGTTTCTAACATCAACAACCTCATCTCTCTTGTTTCGCATGCCAAGTCATTGATCTTCAGCAGCAATAAAGAGACTGAGAAAGTCAAAGGAAGTTCGGCGCATTACTCCTTGACCGCATTAAGGAATTTTGATCTTTCTTCATCCTCACAAATGATTGTTACCAACGTCCCCGACGAGTTCCGGTGCCCAATATCGCTGGATCTAATGAGGGATCCTGTGATAGTATCATCGGGTCACACGTATGACCGTACTTCGATCGCCCAGTGGATCAATTCGGGGCACCATACGTGCCCCAAGAGCGGGCAGAGGCTCATCCACATGGCCCTTATTCCCAATTATGCACTGAAGAGTCTAGTGCACCAATGGTGTCAAGAAAACAACATCCCTCTCATAGAACACCCATCATCTTCTTTGTCTGAATCGGAGAGAAGTAGCAGCGGCCGGAGAAACTCGTCTGAGAACGCCATAGATCACTTATCCGCAGCGAAAGCCGCCGTCGATGCTGTCAAAATGACAGCTGAGTTTCTGGTCGGGAAGCTAGCCACCGGATCGCCAGAGATACAGCGGCAAGCAGCATATGAGCTCCGGCTGCTAGCGAAGACTGGGATGGACAACCGCCGGATAATCGCCGAGGCCGGAGCTATTCCTTTCCTCGTCACACTACTGAGCTCTCAGGACCCGAAAATACAGGAAAATGCAGTAACCGCACTCCTCAACCTCTCGATCTTTGACAACAACAAGATCCTGCTAATGGCGGCAGGAGCAGTTGAGAAGATCGTAGATGTCCTCGAGTCAGGGAAGAACATGGAGGCAAGAGAAAATGCAGCGGCAGCAATCTTTAGCCTGTCGATGATCGACGACTGCAAGGTCAGCATCGGCGGGCACCCGAGAGCGATTGCAGGGTTGGTCAGTCTCTTAAGAGAAGGCACTTCGACCGGAAAGAGAGACGCTGCGACTGCCTTGATCAATCTTGCGGTTTATAATATCAACAGGGCGAGTGTCGTGGCTGCCGGAGCGGTTCCCCTGCTGATAGATCTTTTGATGGATGATAAGGCAGGGATTACAGATGATGCACTTGCTCTGCTCGCTTTGCTCTTGGGGTGTCACGAAGGTTTGGAGGAAATAAGGAAGAGCAGAGTACTTGTGCCTCTTCTCGTCGATCTGTTGAGATTCGGTTCTCCGAAAGGAAAAGAAAATGCTATCACTCTCCTGTTAGGTCTGTGCAAAGATGGAGGAGAGGAAGTCGCGGGGAGATTGTTGATGAATCCAAGAAGCATACCTTCTCTTCGGAGCTTGGCAGCTGATGGGTCTTTGAGAGCACGAAGAAAAGCCGATGCGTTGCTCAGATTATTGAACAGATGCTGTTCTCACTCTCGCAATCCTGTTGGATGAGTCAGGGCAGTTGAGTACGTGGGGTGTAAATGTGTGAATAACACATAAAAGAGAAGTTACATTTCCATTTGTTCAGTGTAATCAAATACTCAGAGAGTGGATAAATCTTTATGTCTCGGAGACATCCTTTGAAAGCAAGAGGAATTTCAGTGTCAATCTGCAGAAGAATTTTGATACACCGCTGTCTCTTATCATACACAAAATGCATCTAAAAATATGGGATGAATTCCCTAAAAAACCCCAAACTTTAGGTCAAGTCTCAAATCTGCCCCAAACTTCTTTTTTTGTCTCGGAAAATACCCCAAACTTTAGGTTTAGTCCCAAATCTACCCCGAACTTTGTTTTATGTAAAAAAATCGGCAAATTTCAATTTATTTTCAGTAATATACCCCGTGATCCAATCTCAACTTGACGTGATACTTCCACGTCATAACAAATCCACATTAGCAAAGTAATGGGGCGATAAGTAAAGACCGACGTCGCATTTCCACTTCGATAACAAATCAAACCAAATAACAATTATTGAAATTCTCCAAAATAAAATCATTCTAGGATATGAAAGTTAGAGACAATAACAAATCCACCCCAAAAAACTTTTTTTAATTTGAAAAAAAAAACCTAATTTTTAGATTCAGTCCGAATGTGCTTCGAACTTTTCTTTGTCTAAAAAAAATCCTATTACTTTGTTAATGTAGATTTATTATCGACTTGAAAGTGCCACGTCAAGTTGGGATTGGATCATCGAAGTATATTTTTTAAAACAAATTGAATTTTGATAACTTTTTTTACACAACAAAATTCGGGACAGATTTGAGACCAAACTTAAAATTTAAAGTTTTTTCTAAGACAAAAAAAAGTTCATAATAAATTTGAAATTGAACCTAAAGTTCGGAGTTTTTTCTAAGACAAAAAAAATAATTCAGGACAGATTTGAAACTTGACTTAAAGTTGGGAGGAGGGTTTTTAGTGAATTAGACCAAAAATATGAAAGGACAACTATTGTGCTTGGAAAAGACTGATTGACAATTGTCACTGCCGATACCAACAAAATGAGTTCCAACATTGATCGTTTGATAGGCGAAACTGGTCATCGTTACAAACTCTTGTTACATGAGCAGCTCCAAAAAGGTAGGCCCTTAAGAATTTACATGGGCTCTCACACTCTCTGTCTCTCTCTCTCTCTCCCTCTCTCCCTGTATATATGGAGTGACAAGGGTTTAAATTAAATGAATGAGTGGGTGAGAAAAATCCAACTTTGAGAAGGTTCAACTTCTGTTCAACCAATTCGAAGTGAGCTGATGCAGCGGAAATATAAGCTCGAATACCAGCAGTGAACCATCATTCACATCAGGGAAAGTCCGAGAACCAAATCTGTGCTTCACAATTCTACCAGTTCCAATCCAATGTGTTCCCCGTTTATCTTGTATCTCCAGTACCAACTTCCACTATCGACCATGTTCGGTGCGAGTGTTTCTAATTGAACTGAAAAACCTGAAATGTAGATGGAAGAAAAGGTGAACATCTTACCCATCGCCTTAAGATCACAAAATGGGTTAAGTGCAATTTTAGTCCTCTAAATTTCAGCGTACGTACAATTTGGTCTTTTAACTTTTATTTTATGCAATCAAGTCTTTTATAATTCTTGATTTATGAGATTTGATCATCTAATTTTATTTTGTTCATTCAAGTCCTCTAACGTTCTTGATTTGTGCAACCCAGTGCTTCATTTACTTCTTGTAACTAACATAATCAAATTAGGGTTTCTTGTTTCTCGCTAATTTGGTGCCACCCACAGTGACAATGCCACATCAACGGCTTAGAGTGAGCAATTGACCGAGCAATTTGATTGCACAACCCAAGAAAATACCTAACAGTACAAAATAAAACTCAGAGGACTAAATTGCACAAATCAAGAAAGTTAGAGAACTTGATTGAATAAATTAAAAAAAAGGACGACTAAATTGCACAAACGCTGAAAACTTAGCAGACTAAACTGTACTTAACCCTCGGAAAATTGCAAAAAGAATTATATGAGCAAGAAACAAACCGATAGTGAGGATTTTGGGTGTTGGTGGGGTAATTGGCAAGGGCTTACAAGAGAAGGGAATGATAAGCTGCAAAAGATTTTGCATGCTTCTAGCAGGATCAAGATGGTAAAAGTGATAATGCATGCTGATCCACACACGTCACTAAAGGATTGTTGTATTCCCCTCGATTCCGAGAGGAGACTTTTATAACGAAACCCAAAAATAGACAGCACATATCATGAAAGGGATGCTATTTACACTACAAACCTGAGATTCTAGGAGTAATCTTCATCTTATGGCCATCAGGAACTTCAAAAACATGATTTCCCTGCCGTGGGAACGAAACTATCAGTAATAGAGTCAATGCATAATTACAAGAAACGAAGTGCGTGACATGCAAAATTTTCGACAATTAATGGTCGACATGTACTTCTAAAGTTGGAGCCCTGCATCATAACACTTTCCTGCCACAACAAATAGAATTGACCCACTATTTTCACATCCTACAAGGAAATAATGTGTGGCGGCACGGCTCTTATGGAGGTCGAATAAATAATAGGCTTGCACCTGTGCCAAGATGTGTCAATATTAGCTTAATCCTGTAATTTATGTCCAACTGGTGCAAACCTGAAAAGAGACTTCTGTTGCCTCAAATTCTGCATTCCCATGCAGTATGACCTTCAGGGACTCTGACCGCTGAACATCATGTTTCCAGAATACATTTCCCGAGAATTTCCAGTCGATTCCTTCATTTAAAACCTTGACATTCTGTAACTTACATCTACCACACCTACAAAATTAAATAAGATTCAAAAAAACATGTCCACGACTCTAGAAGAAGCAAGGGAACCAAAAGAGGGAAAATATATCACCTGTGGCCATATTGTAGAATCAGATCACCATTTTTACCCATTCTAGTTGAGCCCATGACATTTTCAGCCTCAATAATCAGGCTTCCCTCAAGCTGGAATACAGGTACCCAATTAGCTCAGAAAATAAGGCACTACATAGGTCGAGTCCCGTAAGTATCAATATGCACCTGAACATCTCTCCATAAAAACTCTGCAACCTCGACTATTAACTCGGATCCTTTGCTTATGGAACCTCCACAAAACTGTGAGAAAGAAGCCAAAGGAGGTCAGATTATTTCAACATCACAGGGCATAAAATCCAGAGCACCTAATTCATTCATTTAGAAAGAAACAAAACCAAAGCAGTTTGAAACAAATTAAAGCAGTTCCCCAAGAAGTCCTAGGATCGTCATACCATGCAATTAGAATGTGAGAGGTAACCTCTAACTTGACATTCCAAATAAACAATTCTCATGACAGACCATAAGATTGAATGTTTACCTTTTGCCGTGAGACCTCCCAAAGTGGGCCAAGTGCTGGGTGAAGAAGAATAAGAAATGGTGGTCCAGAATCAATGTACTTCTCATTCCCTTCTATCTGCAGCAAAGAAAAGAAAGTAGGATTAATCAAACATGCACCAAAAATAATGTATTTTGCATCACTTTTAAAACCAAATATTGATGTGTTTTTTTTTTTTTTTTGGGTAATGAATATTGATGTGTTTTGTTTTAGCAAAAGGAAGAAACTACAAACAAGCAACCGAGGAACAAGGAAAATACAAATGGACAAACAATGCACGAAATGATTTTTATGGAATCAACTGACATGACCAATCTGCAGCAAGACCATGTGCCATACCTCAGGAAGGTAAATGTTACATTGGGAAAGAATGTCATAGGCATTCCGCATTATATCCAACAGTGAACCTTCTGGGGTCTGCACAAGAGTACATAATTGGTCACCATGCATGAAGAGTGTCCACTAGGTCCATGAAAATAAAAGTAGAAAAAAAAACCCCAGAAAGCTCACTCTCTGTATTATGTGACCGCTGGCATTGGGTGTCTATCAATCTTTGGTCATAGGCAACTCAAGGAGAGTTCAAAATAAGAAAAGAAGCAAGTTTATAAAACATTAATCACCTGATGTAAAGACATGTCCGAAGGTTTCCGCTTCTTCTTGGCAGAGGAGGTGACCCTTCTCCTTTCATTGTAGACTAGAAAAGTGTCCAGCTCATCTAGTAATCAATCCAAAACAGATGTCATAGATGGACTAGATGGATAAATCGAATCACTTCAATAGCCATTTTATGAACAATGTTAGAGGGGCCTACCTTCCACACCCTTATAACGACGAGATGAATAGGTATTAAGAAAGCTATCTGCAATATTCTGCATGGTGCATTCCAGCCTTCCACCACTAACACTGTCGAATATAAAGAATTACTTTCATCCAGAGACGGAGGGGGGGTGTGTGGTTTATATCTGATCAGAATTCTAAAAGAGACACAACATCACACAACATCAAGAGCATCGGAAGACTAAATTAATTTCCCAAACAAGTAGTAAGAGCACCAAATAGTTTTGTTCACACCATAATACTGGCATCTAGAAGCAACGCAACCCATCAGATTGTTTATCTAAGCTGTTATTAAGCAAATGTCCTACCACATTGCAAGAGCAAGCTGAGTGTAGCATGTACTCCACACAGAATTGACTGCTCAGTATAATTACCGGCTAGCTAAATTTCTTTGAATATTACAAGCCTATTCCCCACAAGACCACTCAAGCAACATTGTCTCATAAAAGGAACCAACAATCACAACTAAAAAAAAGGGAAGATAGAATGGAATGTAGACAGGAATACATGCCTATGCCTGTTTCCAAAGTCGTCCACGTATTCAATTGGCTTTTTTATATTAAGCACCATGCCTGGTAAACTCCTTTTGTCTTTAGACGATGCAACTAGCTCAGCAGATTGTAAATCCACATATAGGATGTTTGTATTGGCAGGGAATTCTGCCTGCAAACTAGAACAGAGAAGAAAAGTGAATTGATTATTAATAGTAGAGTAGTTCCCATTGGAAAATGGATAGATTGAAAACTTGGAGCCACATATCAATTTACCTATTAGAAGATCCAGTAGCTATCCCAAACTTGTCAAACTCAGTATACTCGATGCATGATAAACCATATGCCCACTTCCCATCATGATTCTTTCTCTCAATGAGAACATTGATTCCTTCTGTAGCACCCGCGCTGCGCTTACATGAAGCAAACCCAAATTTCTGCTTCACGAGAAATCAGAGAAGAGAATGAGCATTTTCTCCGATTAGTAGACTTACTCCACTTATCACCCAGGAAAAATATATATCAAATGGATGCTAAATATAGTTATCACGTCGATTTTTCGAGGCGTTAGCATTGATGTTATGGAATGCATTTATCTGCATATACGCCTTCATAGCACACAAAAAGTCATTAAGCTGTGCGCAGATAGCTCATAAATGATAGCTGTTTCCAAGCGTCAGTATAACTCAAGTCAGGTTCCTTCCTTCATCCTCCATAATAGCATAGACCTCATCATATAGCCAAAGAAAAAAGAGTTCAACCTTTTCAAATTCTGGGGTCAACAGAAGAAGCTCATAAGATCGAAATGCAGAGAGAAGAAGAATTATCATGCCACACAATTATTACCCATCTTAAGTCTCTCGGCTCAGCGCAGTACATCAACAACAATAGAAAGGAAAGAAAAGCAACCCATTATGCAAATCTTCAACTCTTATATCTCTACCTACATATGTAAATGTTCATCAAGGTTTTGAGGTCATGACTACCACCATCTTCACCCATGTTCTGCTCCTCTGATTCCATATCGAATAATTTTCATCTTAACGTGACCATTAACCAATAAGCTACAGATGGTACCACTCACGGTCTCATTCCAATCTCTAATCAGGAATCTGCTAAACTTGATTTAGAATATTGGAGATGAGTGACTAGAGGAGACACTTATAAGATGATTAGGTTGTTCAGAATCCCACTGTTGGACAATTGGCATAAAATTCACTACATGGATGTGCATAAACAAAACGAAACCACTTACTTGCGAGAGCTGAGATCATTATTTTAATGAAGAAAGCCATCAATTCACATAGACAAACACTATATACAAAATGCCCTATGTTTATATAGTTTGTAGGAACCAGGAACAAAGGAAGAGCATGAAATTCACTGTCTTTGCAGTGTTCAGCAATAATACCAGCAGAATGTGTAGCGGGACTACTAACTTTCCTGGAGAATGCAGGTTTCTAGTTCCAAATAGGATGGCATCCTCTTTATTAACAATTCCATGGCAACCGCATGACATCTTGAAGGAATATAAATGAGTTTGATGACTCGCACAAGTAAATTATTGCCATGAAATGTGGAAGTCACTCAGAAGTTTCTTTGGAAGTCCTGAGAAAGAATGGTACACAATATGTATTCGTACCTTCTCATGACGTAACCCAATCCCTGACAATGCCAAGAGTGTCAAATCTGTGGCAGCAACGACATTACTGCAGAAAAATAACTACAGATGATGTTCCGGCTCTCAACCAATTAAAGAAACAAACATGAACCAGAACGGACTAATAAGACCTGACTTGTCTAATAGTGGCGCCTTTCCTTCCATGTTTGTAGAACCATTCAAAGATGCCTCTGTCATAAGCCAGTTTCCATATAACACCGTGACCACCAGGTTTGCATACAGGCACGAATGATTTTGTGATGATCCACTGTCCATCTTCTGTACTTACAGCTGGTACAAGAGGCTGCCAAATACATGGCACATTTTAGGTAAGCACCAAATGTTGACACTAACTTGAGCTTTTAATTAGATAGCAATAAAGATGAAAGAAAGTGCCAATTAAAACCTGTTCAAAAAATTGGAAACTGGATTGACCTCTTCCAAACCACTCGAGTTTCTTGCAGAGGGAAGTAATGCGCTCATGGTTGTTCTTGGCACCGCTTGTCATAATCGCAATAGGAGTGATACATTGCTTTCCATACAACTTGAAGTACAGGTACTCCCTAGCCTAGCAATTATGAGAGAACCAACGGGCATGTTATTGGTTCATAGGATAACGTTACATTTTCTTAAAGATTTTCTGCTAATTAACATTGCTGCTGAGCATGCCTAAGAAAAATGGCAAAGAAAAGGCAATAAAAGAAACTCTGCGTCATAAGCAGACCATGCACCTGTAGATCTCTCACAAGGCCTTCCAATAGTGTGCGTCCACAGTAAGGAAGCATGGCAGCAGGAAGACATTCACCAGTGTCAGGATCCACCAAACCAAGTCTGTCGGCAGAGCCTCCGAGAGGATAGATTTCACCTAGGTTGGGCAAACCCTAAAGGGATAAGACCTTAAGTTCAAGATCATCCACCGCATATACATGCTGCAAAGAGAACTCTATTATTCTCAGGAGACGAACCTCGATACCCCAGAGAGCCGCTTGAGATGCGTACTCTGTATTCTGAGAAAGGTCAAGTCCAGCGGGAGAGTGAATTTCCAAGATCTGAGATTCCATCGATCCCTTTGAATTCTGCGACCAGTTGGTAGACTGCCTTTCTGATACTGATTCTGTAAGGAGCTCAAGCACCATTATCTGATAACTACAGAAGTTATGTCAATTAATAAGTAAGATACAGAGGGACAAAAAAGCACGAGAACAGCCCCTAAGAATCTTCACCAAATCTTCGAAGCCTGCATGCCAAAATTCCAAAGCAGGAGGTATTCTCGATATACATGAATCCCATTAAAGATTTTAACTTGAGATACTCTCTAATGTTGTCAACTTATGGCAGGTAAAAGTTTGTGCAAATTTTCAATTTCACTGTCCATACCACAGTAATCATTCGATCGTTTGAATCCTAAAAAAGCACGTATCAGGAATAAAGGCAGTTCGAATTGAAAGGGAAAGTTTCCATCGCCAGCAATCAACTGACAACTTCAATATCACTTAATGCAGGAAGCATTGAAAGAACTCTTCTTTTATTTATCCACAGAATCCGTCAAACATTGACATATCGACTACAAGAACCCATCCCCTAATCGACCATCACAATTAGTGCCTCAAGTTCATTCCACAAGGCTTTCAAGAAAAGGCCACCCCCTGGAATTGATTTTCGAAAGGCAATCAAGTCAAACCAAAGTCGAGCATATCTTCCGGGACCCCCATTTCCCAAGCGGAAGAAACAAGCACGATTAAACAGAATTTGGTCACAGAAGAAGAACTAACTCACCCAATAATTCCTCCAATGCAATCATAGAACCGTTCGATCTCTCCTAGGGTCCGCAGCAGCTTCTTCAAGTCACCAATGTCCTCGTCCTCAGAGCCCACGCCCATCTTCCTCTCCCGGCCATTCACATCCAGCCTCTCTATCATCTCCACCAAAGCATAGAGCGCGCTCTTCAGCGAACTCTTGGCAGGCTCGCGAAAACCGCCCGCCGGAGCCCCAACCTCCGCGCCAAGAAGCACGTGCCCCTGCCCGGCGGCGACCAAGCACTTGATCAGGAACAGCTCGCCCTCGTCCAAATCAACGGCGCCCAAAGCCCCGGCTAAACCACCGCCGCCGGACGACCGAGAGCCGAAGAACTCCTTGACCCTGGAATCGGCGCTCACCACGCCGAGCTTCTGCGCGACGGAGCCGGCGCCGGCGAGCCGGGACCGGAGAGCGGCGAGGCGCTCGATCTCGGAGCGGAAGTCGAAGTCAGGAGCCGGGGGCACGTACTCGAGGGGGGCGGTGGAGACGCGGGTGAGGCGGCAGCATGGGGGCGGCGGGGGAGCGAGGAGGGGGGAGAGGGAGAGGGAGAAGGAAAAGGGGGGCGGGGGCGGCCGGCGGAGGAGGAGGAGGGAGCGGGGGAGGGAGGAGGCCTTGGGGGTGAAGGAGAAGAAGAGGACATTGCTGGTGGCGGCGGCGCTGCCGGTGGTGGTGGCGGTGCGGCCGAGCGACGGAGGAGCTGAGCCGGACATGAGAGAGAGAGAGAGAGAGAGAGAGAGGGACGAAGTCACTGTAGGTAGTGGAGGTTTGCAGGTGGCGATGCAGTCGAGGAAGGAGGAAGGAGGAGGAGGAAGGAGGAGCAGGAGAATAAAAAGGGAAGATGCGAGGAGGATATACCGAGGATGGGATGGGATGGGGATGGGATTTTGCCGCTTTTAACTGTCATTTCTTCTTGTCCTCAAGTTCCTCTCCTGAGTCTCCTCCTCCTCCGCCTCCCTCCTCCTTCTTTTTGTTTTTTTCCTCTTTTTTTTTTTATAGACGTATTTATAAAAATAGTATTATTAAATCCCATATTTTATAATTGAGCGGGAAAGAAATGGACAAATTTTCGTTGGGAAAATTCCAATTTAGGATCCAAAGTGGAGTCATTTTCTCGATTTAGGGTCCCAAGTTGAAAAGGAAAAGAAAAAAATAGAAAAAATAAATAAATAAAAACACTGTTTCCGTTCGCCGGAACAGTCGCGGGATCGCCAGGCGGCGGGTATTTTGATCGGCCGGCGACCCAGACCCTTATTTGACACTTTTTGGGCACTTTGAGTACCAATTTGGCACTAAATCCACTTGGGACTCCAAATTGAGAAAATGGCCCCACTTTGGACCCCAAATTGGAATTTTCCCAATTTTCATTCTCGAGGGAGGAGAACGCAGTAAAACCCAAAAATATGTATATAAATATTTTAACCATTTATTTATCTTGTTAGCGATCTCCCCCATCCACAAGAAAGGAATATTCAGCCTATGATCCGTCCGTCCTTCTATTCGTGCAGTGCGACCGTGGCACGTGTACCGTGGTAATCGAGGAAAGTTTGAACAGAAGCCGGACTATTAGCCCACATTTGATAGTCGGAATAAAATTCGGAATTGAATAAATTTTATCCTTCTACCGTGTTCGGTGTTTGCCCAGGACAGGATAAAGTCGGATATATAACCCGGATAAAATTATACCATGAGAGAGGTGGAATAAAGGTGAATAGGATTTCTAATATCCATTATATAAAAGTTATTTTTAAATTAATAAAATATAAATAATATTTAAATTTTAATAAAAAAAATTCAAAATAATAAAATTCATTTTATTTGTTCTTATTTTTATTTATATATTCAAATTTCTTTCTATCTTATGATATAAAGTTCATATATATATATACATTTAGTATTTATACTTATCATATATTTTAGGTATATTTGTATAGTTTACTATTTAATAAATTTTTATTAGAGGATGATGGAAGGAGAGAAAAGAATTAAAAAGTTGAGGGGAAAAATAATAAAGAATAAGTAAATAAAATGAAATAGATAAGAGTGTCGCGAGAAATTTTTCTCATTTCCGTTTAAGCAATTTTTAGATTTATTTACACTAATATGACGTTTATAACAAATAATGGACATGATAATATATGAAAATATCCAGCTTTATTAGTGCAATTTACCAAGCAATAGATAAAATATAGCAAATCTCTTGAATTTTATATCTTATCATATCCAATCATATCCTGATAGAAATCCAGACGACCAAACGCAGCCTTAGAGTTGCGCAATCAATCTGATCAAAGACGAGTCATTCATGCCGGAATTTAGGAGATTTGCCGGGGATCGCATACCTCGCGTGCGTTGCAGAAACTCTGGCTCCGAAGATCATAAGAACGCACGTTTCGCTTTTTGAAATGTGAATAATTACATAAGTCGGAGAATTAGAAGCCAAGTGTTTTCCCGAGAAAAAAAAGAAAAGAAATTCAAGCTGAGTAATGTAGATTTTTTCAAATGATTTGTTCAAAATAAAAAAACTTGTCATGAAAGTGCAATTGAGTCTTGAAACTTTTAAAAAGTGCAATTAAATCCTAAAACTTATCAAACAGGTGCAATCAAGTCTTTCCGTCGATTGCACTCTTTGAAAGTTTCGAGACTCAATTGCACTTTCGTAATAAGTTTTAGGATTTTCAGTGCACTTTTTTCTTCTTTTTCTTTTTTTTTTGGTACATAAGAAGATAATAGAGAATTACAAAAAAAATTGGAATTAGAGAAAGAAAGGGTATCCGCTGGAAAGTCGAGAATCAATTTTTTTTTCTTTTTTCTCAGTTCATTTCATTTCATGTTCCAAAATGGACTCCGCGACCACAACCCACGGCCCAATTGAAAGCATGATATATGCTATCATACTTACTGAACCCCAGTTGGTGGTTCCTTTCGTTCACTCCCCTTAGCGACACGTTAATTTTTTCGCGTTTAGGCTTACGGGCGATGACAATGAATCGAGAGGTGCGACATTTCGAGCCCACTTCTCCTTTCCGGATCGAGTCGAAGCTCGCGCGAATATGTACAGAGGAAGCGATGGCGATAGCATCGATCGCGCGGGGCTGTGATGGAGAGCAAGAGAAGAGGGCGATAACGAGCGCTGAGCGAAGATATTCGCCGTGAATTTTCGACAAAGGCAGCAAGTGTGGGAGTAAGTACATTGATATTACGCAACGTGAAACCCGAACAATAGCAGCCTAAGTCCGGTACAGGGGCGATGAATTGGGCCCGTAATTTAAAGCCTTTAGCTTGTTTTGCAGGCCCGTGGGCCAGGCCCAATTCCGCCGTTTCGGGTCGTGCGCTTGTGATTCAAGCCTCAAGGCCCAACATAACATGACGACTTGAGGACTATAATCGATTTCATCCAATAAACTTTTGTGGTAGCCGAAAGTTAAGAGTGCCGCCGTCACGACGGGGATGAGGATCGTCTTCTCCTATCGGTGTCTTTGATCGGTGCCCAATCCGATCCAAACAATCGCTCCATACAGATGAGGGTAATTGTGGAATTTACCGTCGATGTATCGACGGCCTAGATGTCGAAACACTGATGAAGGTATCGAGCGGGGTGTAAGATACTTCTCTCATCAGTGCTGTTATTCTTTTTTCTTCCCTCTCCTTTTTTAGATGTAAAAATAAAATACATCAAAATGGTACGAAAACGGTATTTTGGTGAATTTGTTTTCAATGCAAACATTACAAGGTATCACTTCTAGTTTTGTATTGAATGAGGTGATATTGTTACATCTACGAAGATTAAGGACTCGGCCTCGTGCATGTACGATGAGTATTTCATTCATTTTCTTTTGATAATCTAGAAGCACGAGCGCGGAAACCCAACAACCAAGAGGCTCAAGAAATATCTAGCGAGCCTCACGAGCCAGTTAAGTCCAAACCTTTTGGCTTATACAGGCAATCTTGATCCGGAACATATATTGTATGTAGTTGGTGGGATCTAGATTAAACATCGCTTGGTCCCTGAACTACAAATTCACCGACTCCCAAATCGACCATGGCAACATCGGGATCGCAAAGGAGATTGCCTATATGATTAACTCGGAGATTTGGGACAACATTTTCTCTTCGGATTACATTGCGAGGAAACAACAGAAAGGAGGCAAAACTTAATGAAGACGCATTTAGTTTGACATAGGATGATAGGATACTGCCTAACATGTTCTCTTGGAGATTTGCTTACATTCTCTCCTCGGAAAATCAAAAGGAAAAGACAAGGAAATGCAGAAAATCGAAAACTGAGGAAAAACTTAATTCAAGAACCAATTCAATCACCACCAAATGCAATTATAGAAGTGCCATTTGATGCACATCAAACATGCATTGTGCAGAGAAAGGCAACTGTCTAGTGTCTACTATTAAGATTGACCGGGAAAATGGATCGGTCAAGATGTGTAAAAACTAATCAGGACACTATCTAACTTGTTATACAAAATCAAATGATAATAATAAAGTACTCTATTATTTGCAAAGTATCTTGTGATTTATCGAGGGTGAAATCACACTCATAAAAAAAGACAGAAACGACTATCATTATAGTATTTATAGTCCACGCAATAAATAAAATACAATATAAATAGAAAAGCTAAAATTGCATGGAGAAAATGTGATAGCTTTATTCTCACGGGCATTTATTAAATATTGAATATGACCCATTTATTTCAAAACCTTGTTACATCATGTAATGTTATTTTGCATACCAACTTAATCGATTCATTTAAATATACCTAGCGTCACTCCAAAAGGGATACTTGTAGGGTCCTAAGATATAGATTAAGCCACACTGGTTCCAAAAAAATCTACATAAATATCATATCCCTATAAAAGTAGTTACTACTAGTGGTTAGTTTTGTCTAAATTAACGGCAGTAGATTAAACAGATAAAAGAAAGCTTCTAGTAATCTCTAGCCATTGATGATCAAATAAAGTCTGCCTTTGTTCTTGTAATGTTAGGTTATTTTTAGAAGTTCACAAAATTCAAAGCGAGAGTCATTGTAAATAAGTAACAAGTTTGATGATATTTCGAAATGTGTGGATGAAAATGTTATCGAAACTTACACATGCATCCTTGTCAAAAGATTCGGATAACTTGTTTAAGCAATTCTTCACGTAGCATTGCAGAATAAAAATTCTTCAAAATGCTTCTTAAGCTAATTTATAGTATCTCCACTTCACAGAAGTCCAACTATTTCAATCGAACTTCTCTCCTAATTCACTTCTACTTTCTGTCATTGAAATTTGTCTTATCTACCTAAGTAGTTAACAAAGTTTTCTTTGGGGGGTAAGAAGATGTCCATCGAAGTCGCCAACATCAGGGTGGGTATGTTGATCAAACACCATGAAATGATGACAAAAAACCTCGTACTTCTTAAGTTGGCTGCTTCTTCTGCTTCCTCAATGGCAAAGAAAGACAGCAAAAACAAAACAAAAACAAATAAAACAAATTTAGGTTCCAGGAAAAGTGAGATGCTGTCGTTTTACGCTGACAGGATTGCAGAAACAAACGCAATAGAAAACCGTTCTGTCTCTACGCAGTTCAAGAAGCAAATGCAGGCAAGATCAGATCTAAGTTTAACGTACTTCAGTTCAGTCCTGTGTGATGAATTTTTATTCATTTTTTCTTGGTCAGTTCTCCTTTCAAAGACACCTCGCAATGCCCAAAGTTTTATATTATAATTTTGTTTCAGAAATGCTTTATTGTTTAATCTCTGCGGGACAATTCAGAGCAATATAAAACTCAGCCAAGCAAGAATCAGAGTCCAGACAGGATGTCATGAAAACGGCAATTACCTTTTGTGATGTTCGTACATGAAAACAATGTCCTATTATTGAATGTTCCAGTATTGATAAAGGATGCTAGAGACAAGTACCTCAAGATCTCACTCAGAAGTTGTCTCATTCACAAAGTCAGATCTAGAGTACTCGCGTTCTGCTTCTTCAAATTCCCATCACTATCACCATTATCCTCCTTCAATCTGCTGAGCTTCGAGAACAATGAACATGAAGAAGGAGACAGAGAAAGAGACAAATCGTTATCGACCTCATTATTGCCATTTTCCAAATATTCCTTCTTCGGTCTCACCACTCTCAGAGATAATTCCAAGTCTAAGACTCCATTTGGGTCCAAACCCTTCCTTTTCAGGATGCTTCTTGATCTCTCTTCTTGAACTGATGATGATCCGCGCGCATCGTCGAACAAACACGTTCTGATCACTTGTTCACGTCCTCTGATGTCTTCGATTTTCTTTAGGAGATCAGGTTCCTTTGTCGTTGAGCTTGGTGTTGCAACTTGGGCTTGACTTATTTTTTGCCAAGATTTATGAATTGATGATGATTTGGAGTGATCTTCTCGATAATGATCACGAGTAGCAGTGATAGTGTTCCTAGCAGCTTCTCTATCAAAAGATGAATGACCCACATGGACATAATCACGATTAGGCGCTCCTAATCTTTTGTCGATCCCACAATTAATATTTTCTGCTGCAGAAGCTACAATATGTCCAATCTTGAATCTTTCAGACATTGGTGAACCTTGCAGGTGACTAGGGTTGTACATGCCACTCCAAGAAGCATCCATGTACCTTCGCAGTTAAGAGAAGGAGGTTTTGATCGTAACAAAAATTCTCTCCAGAAATTCTTGTTCCTAAAAGAAAATACTTATTGAAGGAATTAAATATTACTTGCAAAAGTAATTAGTACCTTAGAGAAGAAGGCCTCTGGTTGAATGCTTGTAGGAGGGGAAGTTGGCTGAGATTGTAAATATGATGATCACCACCGTCACCAAAAAGACCATGGTCCTTTATAGCTGTCAGAGAGAAAAAGGACCCAAAAGAGGTTTTGTTAGATTAATCTCTTCAAACCATAAACAATTGCAAACCCTAATGTTTTGTTAGAGAGATCACGAAAATTGAAAAATCACCTTGATTGTGGTCGTCTATCTTCTTGCTCCTGTACATCTGAAGACACAAAATCATTAAAATTTACGGCTTTAATTACAGAAAACTGATGGTAGTTGATCCAGTACTTTGACATGAAAACGAAGACAAACACTAATTAATTAAAAGATCCAGCTGAAATTAATTACCTGAAGATGGCTCTTCACATGGGCGATGCTAAGGCCCTTGGCGTTCATCAATTGAAGAACCAACTTCGGAGTTGCTTCTGTACCAATCAAATAATAATTACAATTCTTCTTTCATCAAAAAGAACATAGACGGGAACGAAAAACTGAAGTTACAAAAGTGCTCACTCTCATGTCCTCCAAGTCTTTCAACAGCATGGATAAAGCAAAGATGGAGATCAGGTGTCCATCGAAGCCGAGGCATCTTCGAACGTACGTATTTGCGCACAGATCCACAAGCTTTGACCTTGTTGTTGTCGTTCTTCTCACTCTCATCGACCGTGCTGTTGCTCGAGCTGCTGCGGCCATTTCTGAACATCTCCGCCTCTTCTTCTTCTTCTTCTTCTTCTTCATCGTAAGAATCTTCATCTTCTTCTTTCTTGTTCTTGTTACGCAGGCTTGAGATGGTGAGCTGAGTACTCTCATTGCTTCTCATCTTTGTAATTTCTTTTTTTGAAGGGGCTTTTTGGGTTTGTGTTACAGAGATGACTCTTGGGGTCGTATTCATTCTCTCTTACCTCAGGCAAGAAAGACCAGAAAGGGAGACATATTACTTTCTTGGAACACAGAGAGAGAAAGAGGGAGATGAGAATTTGTGGAAATTGGTAGAGAAAATATACGACAAATGAACCCTAGCCTTTGACATGTGGAAGAATAAACCCTCTCTCTCTCTCTCTCTCTCTCTCTCTCTCTCTCTCTCTCTCTCTCTCTCTCTCTCTCTCTAGGTCTTTCTGATTTGCTTAAATTAATAGCATTGTTTTGTACGACTTGCATGCATGGTGCAAAGTGTGGATGCTTTTATGTGTGAATGAGTCCATACATGATGACTGGTGGAGACACATGCACGAGAAAAGAAGAGAACTCAGTTTCTCTATCTTCCTATTAAAAAGTCCATGCATACAACTCTTCTTCTCCTGCTTCTTTTGTTCTTTTTTTCTGTTTATTAACGCTTAAAATGGAAGAGCTTCACATGCCATTTCTACCCCCCCACACAATTCAGCAAGGCTTATAATAAGACAACATTTGGAAGTGCATGCCAATGCATCTACAGGTCTGTGGTAACCATTTTTGACTCATGTTTCGGAGTTCGCGCAATAAACTCTTACTTCATTTTTATTTCTTTAGATTAATCATGAAAAACACTCATAGAACTGTCTTTTTCGTACTTAGTTTTGTAACTTGCATCTATATCGTTTTTTTTGTTCCCTCATGAAAAATGTTAATCGACTCTGTATTGCGAACTCCGAAACATGAGTCGATTTTAATACGACAAAAATGGTTACACCTCTATATTGTAACTTACACCTCTACATTGTTAATTGACTCTCTCTCATTTTCTCTCAAATAAAGGTGTATTTTAAAAAAAATATATAGAGGTGAACCCTTCTTCACACTCCATTAATTTCAGTGCTTCAAAGTTCAAATGATAGCAATATCTTAGCCAAAAACAAGGGTAGGAACGCATTAAATATTTAGATCGGTATCCTCCAAATAAAATTTCGGATAATGAGGGTATTTGGATAAAGGAAAAGAGAAGGTAACAGCACCCTGAGAAGTCAATAATGAAACATATCATTCCAAAGAAAATTAAATATCGAAACATAGAGAATCACAAGCGGAAAAATATTCTCACTAACAATTTTTTTTAACGTCATAACCCCACTTTTTTTTTTAAACCAGATGTCCGTTAAACAATAACCCCATCGTTTCCCTTTTTAGTTTACCGGTTGCCCATCTAACATTATCTAAGAGTCGTGATCGGAAGAATAACATGACAGTGCCGTTATGCTAGCTGCTCTCTTTCGATAAAATCGGGATAAATAGTGATGGGGGGGTTGATCCGTACCCTATATCATTCATTTTGTCAACGCATCCACCATTTAGAATGGAAATTTTTATCCTATGAAGTGTTTAGAGGACTTAAATCCGGGATGATTATGCCTAAGCAAAAAGATTGTTGTCTTTTGCATGGTCCTACTACGCTTTTGCCCGCATTCTCGTCGAGAATCACGGATTTGTCATATGTGGAGACTCTTCACCAACTTTCGCGAGGAAGAGATTGTCATTACTTGCAGAAGCCATATAGCTTACCCCCTCAGCAACTGTCTTCATTTTTCATTGAAAAGTGATGGGATACTTAAGGCTCCATTTGTTGTTTCACGAGAAATAAATGATTTCGAAACATTTTCCTAAATGTAATCGCTTGTGTCGATTAAAATGATTAGTCAATGAAAAATACTTTCATTATCGACAACAATTTATGTCTAAACATTTCCATAGGCGATGAAAATATGTTTCGTTCATTCATTTTTTAAAGTGATATAAGCAATCATTTTTTAGAATATGTTTTACAAATCATTCATTTTGCGCCAAACGAACGGGCCCTTAATCATTATGTAAATTGCGTGACCTTTCGAAAATCTAGAGCTATTAAGGTGCTTAGTTTACCGAAACTTGCTCACTAAAAGTAAACTTGGCGAAATCAAATCGAATATTCAAATAAGTGAGAGCCAAAAGCCAAGCAAATTATTATTCAAATCATTCAAATTGCTTAGTAGACAAATTCGCTTTCGCAATTAATTACGTTTTTCTTCTTTTGAAGGTACATAGTTAGGTTCAAGTCTCATCATCATTTCCCAATTAAGTTCTCCATTCCCAGTGGCATCCAGCAATACTGCAAATATCTTTACAATTTGGTAGCAGTGGTAGTTAATTGGAATCTCTCCCATTCAACCTTCTCGTGCAGAAATTATCTCCACCACATCTATAATATATAACTATGCATAATCATAATGTGTAGATTAAGGAATTGAGCGTTACAGCATGGTGTACCGCAAACAGAGTTGTTAGCAGAGTCGCTTGATGTGATGTTTAGAGGAAAATCAAAGTTCGAGTTAATGGCGATGAAGTCCAAAGGAGTAAACTAGCCACACTAAAATAAACGATTAAGTGACTCCGGCGACAAATTTAGATATCTTGAACGGTAATCTTAGAATAGTTAGTTACATGTCTATTTCACTTTGAATCTTTGATATCGAGCTACATAATTGTATCCTCAAGCCTATTTTCTAGCGGTTAACAAACATGCCCATCGAGTGACTTTTTGACATGATAACTACTGTCGTGAATTTTTGAATAGGAGAACCCCAAATAAGAAAAATTAAGACACGAAATAAGTAGAAACGATTGACCGGTGTCTACATCGATGACTTCATAGTCCAAGGGGACATTTGCATCGGAAGAAGCTGGAGAGCGAAACTTGAGCCAGGCATTTTTCTCAGTTTTGACCCATATGATTAACCCCGTTGGAGAAGCCAATCAGTACACGCGGAGAAGTAATTCTCACGACTTATGTTTTGGACCCCTCTTTAAGGAGGTAGACTTCCCGTCCGTATGCAAAAGTTATTCGACGATGGCGCCCCCAAGGACTATATTATCGATAACTAGCTCAACTTCGACTGGACGAGCGATCCGTCAGAACCACTCGCTAGCAACCCGGAGTCTCGACGATCACGACCCCCCCGACCCGTGCCTAAGTATCGATTGATAGAGTCACTTACTGGCCCAAAACAAAGGGAAAAACTGAAGCACATGTCCCGGGGAAACTGCGAGGGTTTCTTGCATCATATGGAGGCGGCAAGTTCGCAAGGATTAGCTTTCGTCCTGGCTGGATCGCGCTAGCCTTGAGTCACGTCGCACGGAAGGCAAGGCCTGTTTTATATGGACTGAGAGTTGGGATCCGCAATCAACTGTTTCAGTGACGTTATAGACCAGACAGCCGCGCCCTGTCAATGCATCATCGTCGGAGATCGAATTCAAGGAACATGCGAAACCCTTTTCTTGTTGTTTTTATTGTCGTTTGAATCTAGTTGACCTTGAAAAAACGAGGCGTCAGATCAGAGACACGACCAATGGGATTGCTGTAAGATGGAGGAGTCTCCTGCGTGGGGCCGACGACCGCGCATCGCGGTGGCTGTCTACTGTTGGAGGCATCTTTGACTGACTGCAATCTCCAAGTCAGGAGTGATTCAATCTACGACTTAAACTCCATGTTTTAAACGAAATGATAATGAAAATGAAATGGAGAAATGGATAAAATGGAAAGAGCAATGGAATGAAACGGGTCATTTCCATTTCGGATCCTGCATATACCCGAATATGGTGCCGACCCCACTGCGCGGATCCGGCGCGGGAAAACAACGATTTGTCTAATGTCGATGAATGTTGTATTGAGAAAGGGTAAAAAAAGAACATGAGCGGAGGAAAATAGTTAAGATTGTACTTGAAAATTGTTAGAGATGCTTAGGTTGTTTCCAGTAATTTTTCGTATCTCTCGTAATGGTACATATATTTCTGTTAATTGTACCATATCCTTGATTGATATTCACCTTGGATAGTCATCTAATAAAGTCTATCATGTAGGCTTAATCGAAATACACATAGAAATATACAGAACTTACTATTCCGCATTATTCTTATATTGTTAAAAAATTCGACCTAAAATCCTGAACTGATTTATGAAAGGAGACCACATGAATAGAAAGAATATATAAACCCCATATCAAGCGATGCGGGATATTTCAATATCCTCTCTCTTGTACAAGCCAAATTGGAAATGGCATGTGAAATTTGACAAACGGGTGGATGCACTCTCGAAATACCTTGAGAAGGAATCGGACTCCAATATCATGTTAAGAAATCCAACCCAAAAGCTTAAATCAAAATATTTTGTCGAAAAAAATGATATAGCGAGGAGCATGCATTTCCTTTCCCGAGGAGATGAATGTTTATCTCTTCCACATATTACACCAGCATTTATGTTGGGATGCTCGTTCCATTTTCAACGATCATACCAAATACTCGAAATTAGATTGAAAAGTCGGGAGCGACAATTTCATTCCTTTCCATCCCGACATGTCAAACAAGCCATTAAAAGATTGTCGATCGAGAAACTTTCAAAATACAATAAGTGCTCATCCACGCGATAACTAATAGTAGCAAGTTACCGACATAATGTATTCTCTTAACTAGGAAATTAAGTGAAGAAACGTCGAATTTTCGACAGGGCTATCAGGACCCCACGACTTTCCCGCCCACTTTGGGAGATATTACAGTTGAGGAATGTTGAAATAGTTGACAAGGTCAGGTAAAGCCAAAACTCATTTGGAAATTTTCTTGCCAATACATGTCCCATTGCACAAAAACATGGCCTTTTTTCTGGAACATTAGTCTTCGATTCAGCTTCTATGTTCTCATCTTTGTGGAACCCACCTGAGGACAACAGACAACTGGGGTCTTAGTACAGAGGATGAATCTTAAGACATAATAAATGCAGAGCTATGTAAGTCTTTGTTTGTACATATATGGCCAAAAATCAACTGATTTAATTGTTTGACTTGCTTGTCTTAAGAAGCTAACTTGGCTCTTAGCTAAACTGCCCTCCCTCGAGTCTATTTCTTAACTTTTTTTTATTATCTTATTTTGCTTCTCTTTTTTCTTTTTTCTTTATTTCTTTTCTTTTTTTGTTTTCTTCTAAGCATACCGAGGATTGCGGCCCTCACCCATTGACTGTCTAGACAAAGGCTGTGACCGTTACTTGCTACAACTAGGGGTGAGCATGGTACGGGTGGGCAAAATGGGAACCGTTTACTAAG